GTCCTTTGTCAGCACCGGCGAGCAGACGGAGATGGAGGTCAAGATGAGCGAGGCGTTGGAAAAGGTGGCGGGCGAGCACGGCACGGAGAGCGTGACGGCTATTGCCCTTGCCTACGTCCGCAGCAAGGCGCCGAATGTGATTCCCATCGTGGGCGGGCGCAAGGTCGAGCACTTGAAGGCCAATATTGATGCTCTCAAGATCAAGCTCACAGATGAGCAGATTGCGTTCTTGGAAAGCGTCAAGCCTTTCGATGTCGGCTTCCCTGGTAACTTCTTGGGCCCAGATCCTAACATTACTGGAAAGTCCTTCAGGCTGGCGCGCGCATCACAAATGTCGTTCCCCAATGCAGGCAGGCAGACGAGTATCTAAGCTAGATAGATAGAAGCTAGATCAAAAGTATACTGGAGGCCTTGTCTCATCAAACTAGATGACGAGAATCATTAAGTCATATGAGTGCACCAATACGGTAACCCAATAGCTCTCCTCCTGGCTGGGGCCTTAGGAATGTGTCCGCCGAACGTTGGACGGAACTCGGCAGCTTCGACATCATACTTGAAATGATCGTCTCACAGAAGTTCATCTCGTCTACCATCGCGCGTCTCCAGTCGCCAACGATTCACATGCACAGGCTATTTTTGCTCAAAATTATGCTTCAATTGGTGACTACCGCTGAGAGCTGCCTCAAACGAGGTATATATCAAGGGGAGGCCTCCTCAAACCACCTACGTCCGATCAATCTGGGTGACCGTAGCCTTGGATGAATCCAAGCCCTTGTGGGTATCCTTATCAAAGTCAACCGCAGCATCAGCATGCGTATCAAGTCCCATCTGCTTCATAGCATTCGTTCCCACCGCCGCGTCCGGTCCGTCAAAGATCTCCGCCACCTCCTCGAGAGACCGTCCCTTGGTCTCGGGGAAGAAGAAGTAGATGAGAGTAAGGTGAATGGCGATCGCCACGCACCATACAATGTAGTACTTCCACGCAATCGCCTCCATGGCAACGGGGTTCGCGAACGAGTTGTAGACACCCGCCAAGTTACCGGTGAGCTGGTAGAGCATAGAGGCCTTGGCGCGCAGCGAGTAAGGTGTGACCTCCATGATGTAGGTCGCGCCAATCGGCGAGCAGGCGTGATACCAGAAGGAGAAGACAAAGATCATGGCCAAGACGGCGCCCGCGTAGCCCATGTGCTTGAAGCCGGTCTCCTGGTTCAGCGCGGAGCAGATTGTCCAGATGATGTACGAGACGCCCATGCCTGACATGCCGACGAGGAAGAGTCTGCGTCGACCAAACTTGTCCACCATGGTGGCGAAGACGCAGGCCGAGAGGAAACCCCAAATTTGTAGTCCGGCGTTGATGAGGAGCTGGGTCTTGTGATCCGTGACATTGATCGAGTTGAGCACCCTAGACGAAGTTTGTTAGCAATTGAGACGAAGCACGAAGGGTATTCGAGTCTGAACTGACTTTGAGAGGAAGTACGAGGTCAAGGCATTGCCAGACCATTGCAGCATGGCAGGAATGTAGAGAGCCAAGAACAAGCGATGCCAGTTGCCGCGGGTCGAGATCCATTCCGCCCAGCGCGACCTCTTCTGCACCTTTTCCACCTCGAGCGTGGCCGTGATCTCAGCCATCTCGAAGCGAGCAAGCCGGGAGTTGGGGTCCCCGTATCCGTGCCACTTGACCAGAATGTCCCTGGCCTCCTTGTAGCGGCCCTTGTAAATCAGCCATCTGGGCGATTCGGGGCAGAAGAAGACGAGAGACGCCTGGATGACGGAGCAGACGCACTGCAGCAAGCTGGGAAGACGCCACGCCCACGAGTTGGTCATCTTGAAGGTGCCAAACGTGACCCAGGCGGCGATGAGGGCACCGAGCGGCCAGGAAACCATCATGAAGGAGACGACCTGTCCGCGGTGGGTAGGGTACGTGACCTCGGACAGCAGGGGCGGGGCGGCGGTCGAGATGATGCCGAGTCCAAAGCCGATGATGAAGCGGGAGGCGACGAACATGCCGTAGTTGAGGGACCAGGTTTGGATGATGGAACCGACAATGATGAGAATCGAGCCGCCAAAGATGGGCTTCCGGCGGCCGAGCCAGTCGCAGAGCTGAGAGGAGACGAGGATGGAGATGAGGACGCCACCATTGGGGCCGAACGTCATGGCGCCGAGGCGTGTTCCCTTCGGCTCGCCAAAGAACTCTTGCCACTGCGGGAGTGACTGCATGCCATTGAGCATGCTGGCGTCGAAGCCCGTTGCCGTCTGGGTCAGGAGACCGCTGAGAAGCAAGAGGTTGAGCTTCCACAGGGTCCAGTCGCTGTACCACGGCTTACGATCGCGAGGGATGACATCGCTGAGGACGAGGCCCTGGAAGTCGTCGGTGTCGGCACCGGGCGAGTGGACCTCTTCGGTGACTGGCTTTGCCATTGTGATGGTTGTCGTCGTCTCGTCGAAGAGAGTGGGTTGCCTTTGTCAACTTTTGTCGTCGTTGTCTCTTGGAGGAACCGGCTCGAACTGACGGCTGCTGGTTTGCGGGCCTGCAGGGTAGTAGTGAATCCGGCGCAACGGTCCTCTTATATCTCGAGACGAACTGGCAGATTGGAACTTAGGAACGAATTGGAGTCGCGATGCGAATGCGGGATAGCGCCGGCTTGCCTACCATCCAGTATATTGACCGATGCCCCCTTTCAAGTTTTCCCCATGGGCAAGCAGCGACCTACCCCGGCTACCAGACAAACGCGGAGGAAGCTAAGGTTGAATCAGACCACTGCGCCGGTATCCGTAGACTGTCACAAGTTGGCCTTGTTCGAATGGTGGTGGCTGGCGACGCTTGTTGGTGCGCATCCAAACCGCGCCGGGGAGGCCTTTACCCCGATGCCCGATGCAGCATCACGTGGAGTTAAGAGGTTTTACCCCAGATCTACCCCAGGTTCCTCCTCTTTCTCCTCACGAGTCTCTGTTCCTTTCGAGCTCCGGGGTGTGTCTTTCTCCTCACGCGACGCCTTCGACTCCTCATCACACCAGGAGTCGGCCCCCCGGCCGTTCGTTGCCCAGCTTCGGGGAATAAGAGCCGGCGGTGCTTGACTGAACCTCGGGAGACCCATCCCCCGGTATCCCCATACCCCGGGCAACGGCGTGTTCGACGGGCGTCTTACGCCGAGATGCCGAGACACGGGAGGGTGCGGCGCAAGCTAGCGACATCAAGCGAAAGCTTTTTCAAAGAGACGAACCATACTACGTCAATGATGGCCTTCTCTTAAAGGTGGGTTTCGCCTCATTTGAAAGCGAGGTCGCTCCGGGCTATGTGCAGCAGGACCGCCTTCAAGTTTAGCACAAGCCACAACGAGCAATACGTTGATGGAGACGGTTCACTGCGAAACTGACTTCGAGAATTCAGGAGTGAATAGCAGATTTATTGAAGCATACGGGCAAGCCATGACTGGTTCTCTTGTCACCCTACGCCAAGACACTGAGTGCACAGTCAGCATGCAGTGTTGTTTGCCTGGCGCAGTAGAGCTCCAACGAATCTCGGTGCATATACCCGTAGTTCATTGCCGTAATGGGCCATACGCGTCCATGCTGGCAGAATCTGGCCAACAAATGTTTTCAAGCTGACAGTCCAACTATCATGGTTGGCTGACCCATGTGTAGCCTCCGCATTTCGTCCCATGCAGCAAAGAACGAAACAACAATAGGCTCACCCGCTTGCAACATGGCCGTCTTGCAACCATGCCATGTTGCTCCCTTTGGTAAAAGTAGCTAATGATGTTTTTCGTTGCCAGTCGGTCAAATCAGAGAGATGTGTAGTACTACGGTTGGCATCGTGTTGCAGTGGAAGCACTGAAATACGTGGTCACTCTAATAGCCTACTAAAGAAAGTCTCACAGCGAGTCTGGGCTAGTACAAGGGTACCACCTCAATTGGTGTCTTCGAGTGATTGTTTAAGACACTCACCTACGTGAAGTAAATGATACTGCGTAGTGTCAGCTCAGCTGCCTTGGCGAAGCGCACAACTTCAAGCAACCTCGCTCTGCGGTTCTCGGTCCCTATTCCAAGACGGCGTAATCGCACAAGTTTACCGCCTTTCTTGAATCGCAGGCGACTCAGGGCAATAGGCAAAGTTTTGTCTCTGTCTGCCTTACTCTCCTCCTAAGAAGAGAGACAAGTCCAAAACAAAGAGGAGCGGCAAATAATTTGGGGTACCTACTAATATCATCACCTATGATCTCAACACGCCTCCGACGACGCCTGTTCGAGGGTTGAGTAATGCAGTTACACAGAATTATTAATCGTGACAGTCAGAGACCCAGTCCCACAAAATTTCGCAAGTGTTTACGTCGTTCAACAACGCATCTGCCACGGGCCCCGGAGGCTTCGTTGCATAAGTGTAACGAAGCTTACAGTGATGTTCGTAGTTACCTTGCATCAGTACCTACTTGATGGTCAATCTTGAATCATATTCTGCCTTGTTTAGGTGCTTAAGTGTGCTTGTTCGCTCAGCGGGCCATGGGTTCACAATATCATTCTTCCAGCGGATCAACATGAGCACAAATGCTTATGGCTTGGCATATAGACACAACGCTGACTGAGCCACAAGAAGGATTACCCTCGCACCAATTGTTAACTGCAGACTTATCCAGAAAGTCTTCAATGCTGACGGATGGTCCGACGGTCACGTATCGGAGAGAACCATGTGCACATCGGGGCACCATCATCCTCACCGCAACAGTAAAGTTTACCTGAACTGCGACTGTGAGATGAGCCTGTAGTCTTCCGCTCTTTAAACATGATCGAAGATTAAGAATGATCTTTGATGGGAAATAAGTTTCCGCTATAAATACAAGATTGGTTCCCAAACCCGCCTATAAAAGTTCGAGATAGGACAGTTCACGAGAAGAAAGTTTCGAAATACAACCACACTTTGCCGATTCAGTATTGCAATAGAACGTTAGATATTTTATTCTTTCACCAATGCCTCACCTTGCTAACAGAAATATCAGGTCAACACCATGAAGTTTACAATTCCCATCCTCCTCGCCCTTGCCACCAACCTCCCACCAACCCTGGCCGGCATCGCCCCCACCACCGCCGAAGAATGCGGTGACCTCGGCGTAATGTCCTACACGGCCTCCTCCCTCGACAGCAACGTCGACCCCTCCAACATCCGCAAGTGCAGAGAGCACCCCCTAACCCTCAAGGACGGCTCGTCCCCGAACCTGCAGGCCCGGGAGTGCTGGTTCGGCGATAAATACGGCTGCAGCAAGGGGTACTGCTGGGAGTCGTGCGACAGGAGCAAGGGCACTTGGTGCTGGACGGCGTGGAATGGCGGGCACGGGAACTGGCGGACTTGTTCTGGCAAGGAGCAATGCGCGCCCGCGGCGCAGTCTGCTTGTGGGAAGGATTGCAAGGATGCCAAAGAGTGTGGATGTAGCTGTCACTGAGGGGGTCTAAACGATCTATGAAATATCGTGCTTTTCGTCTGTCTTTACCTCCTGTAAGCTTGTAATTGACCATCATGGATCTCACTTGTTTGGTTCCATCTTCGGTTATTGGGCTGAGAAGCTCTTTCCAATATTCCAGTAACACCAATCATCACACTCATTTTGTACGATAAGCACTCATCTCATTTCATCTTTTTCTGTCTGTAATATCTCACTCTCTCTCATCGAAACCTTATGCCGAGGTAATTTGAGTGAACTGGCCAGCGTCCGATGCGTTCATCAAAGGGGCTTCCAGTCTCGGCCTTCGGCAGAAATAACATAATTGAAGACTATTTCGGCCACTAGATAGAAGATATCATGAAACTCTCTGATGTTGTATGATTCATTTTATGCTATTGGACAGTAATTTCTCTTGGATGCGGGCTGTACTTGAATTCTTCAACGTTTTTGGTGTGGCTTCCAATTCAGAACTGTGACCAAAGAACACACCGCAGTCCTAGCGTCCAACGTCAGCGGAGAGTGCTAAAATAATACCACAAGAGGCCTCCCAGCTCTAATAATATCTAAAAAAAAAAAACACTAAAAAGCTTTGAAATAGGACACTGCCAACAAGACCGAGTCCGGAGCAAACGCCGTCACCCGGAGGCGGCAGGCGGCAGAGGGCCGTGACAAAGCATCGCCGAAGCTCCGAAGGGCCCCACCCTGGCGCACAAACCCCCGCAAGCCAATCACCTGCGACAACTACAACCCCACCAACAACGACGCCCACACCAAAAGGGAAAGGAACTCGCGCCGGCCGCAGCATCTCGCAGCTCATCCCATCTCCGGGCAGCAAAAAGACGACGCATTAAGGAGGACGACTAAACCAGTTCTGCCATTCGTTTCTGAGTTACCTTAGAGTGAGGAATTCACTTATAATCTGGTTGGCCTTTCACCTTTCTTTCTCTTCTGGCTGAGTTCATCTTTGGATAGGGACAGCAAAATACTGGAAAGAAACACCCCATTAGATATCACAATGGCTGAATCAGCACAGCAACAACCGTTGGAAGGCGGCAAGATTCTCGCGCCAGACGCCATCGCCAACATCCTCTCGTCCGCCTCGGCCTGGGCTGATCCAGGCTCCGTAGACCAGAGCCGCGCGCACAGGACCGCACTGCTCGGCGATGTACTCTTCACTGCGCAGCAGCAGTGGAATAGTGGCAGTCAAGAGATTGACCTTGTTGCGGAGAAGCTGGGCGACGGAAGCAGAGATGGTAAGGCCCCTTGATTCGCACTACCGATTTTGAGATCTACACTAACACATTCAACAGCATCATGGAGACTGCCCCTGGGAGACTCGGGCATCGTCGACTTCTTCCTCTCTGTCATTTCCACGGAGAACCTCAGACCAGCGTTGAAGAAGCACTCTCTCCGTCTGCTCGGAAACTCATGCGCCGACACAGGTACCACTCTTGTTCACTCATCCTCTTCAGCAAAGAAATCTGACGCACTATCTAGATGAAAACCGCGCAAGGGTCGTGTCATCAAACGCAATCACCTCCATCATCAGCCTTCTCGCCGACGACACCGCCCTCCCCTTCGCCGTGCCAGTCCTCTACAACATCCTCGTCGACTACGAGCCCGCCCAGATTCAAGCGAGCTCTTCCTCGCTCACCCTTCATCTCGTCAACCTCCTCACCAGCCCACGCCTCGCCAACGCGCCGCATCTCATGGGTATCATTGGCAAGATCCTCGCCTTGCTCGCCACACACGGTACGCTTCACTCACTCACCCATCTAACTCCCTCCCTCACTCAGTCATAGAACCACAAAGCTCACACCTTTCATCCAGAAACCGAAGCCAACTTTGCACCCCCGCAAACACCAACCATCCTCCTCACCCTCGCCCTCACACCAACAACCGACGCAGAAGACTTCGTCTCCCTCACCGCCGTCGCCCTAGCCTACCTAACCCACGCGCCAATCCAAGCAGCCCTCATCGCAACCGGCTCCGTCCCCGTCCTCCTCGCCACCTTCTACCACCTCCAAACCCAGCTCGACGCCCTCCGCGTCGAAGACGAAGACGCCGCCGTCCTCCTCAAATCCCTCCCCCAGTCCTTCATCCAGATCCTCGCCGACGTCTCCTACGCAGACGACTTCGCCCTCCGGCACCCCATAGGCTCCCCCGTCCTCGACACCCTCTACAGCTGGCTCACCCTCACGCCCAACAACACCCACCTCCAGTCCGCGGCCTGCCTCTGCCTGGGCAACGTCGCCCGCTCCGACGAAGCCTCCTACGCCCTCGTCAAGTCCCACGCCGTCCACCTCCCGCTCGCCGCCCTCCTCGCCAAAGCAACAGACACGATGCTCCTCCACTCCGCCCTCTCCTTTGCCAAAAACCTCGCCATCCCCTCCCAGAACAAACCCGTCCTCGGCGACGCAGGCCTCTTCTCCCCCGAAATCCTCCCCCGCATCTGGTCCCTCGACGTAAACCCCCAAGTCCAATTCACAGCCGTCTCCCTGACCCGCCTCCTCCTCGTAAACACACCCACCAACGTCCGCCGCCTCTGCGCGCCCCTCTCCCCCGACCCTCTATCCCCCCTCCACGAGACAACACACCTCCACCGCCTCCTCGACATGGTCTCCCGCACCGACGCAGAACACACAAAGACCGAAGCCGCCCGCGCCGCCGCAGCCGTCTGCCGCGTCCTACACACGGCGCCCATCCCGCCCATCCTACCAGACTGGGACCCCTCCGAAGACGGCTACGTCTTCCGCCCCGAGAACCCGCTGCCCGCGACGGCCGTAGCCGAGGCAGAAGGCGACGGCGGCGCGCAGCGTCGAGACAAATTCTATAGGCGGCATCCGAGCCTGAACAAGGCGCTCGCGTTCCTCGTCACGCAGACCAAGTTCCCCGTGCTACGCAGCGAGGCGTGGTTCGTCTTCGCGCTCATGTGCCGCGCCAAGGACGGGGCCGATGTGGTTCTGCGTACGCTGCAGGTTCCTGGTGCGTTTGAGGCGTTGACGGAGGCTGTTACGGGGCGGACGTTTTCTGGGGAGGATAGCAGCAACGGCACGGATCAAAAGGCCATTGAGGGGGCGCCGTCGGCTGCGGGGGGTGATGGGCAGGCGGTGGTTGTTGGCGGCGGAGATAATGCTGCCATGGTGGAGGGTCTTGGGCTGGAGCCGCAGCAGGCTGACCCGTCGCAGGCGGCGGGCATGAAGAAGGTTGATCGGGAGAATGGGCTGGTGATGGTGTCGGAGCTTGTCAAGAGGCACGCGGCTGAGTTGCCGGCTGTCAGGAGGGCTGCGTTTGAGGAGATGTTGAAGGAAGGTGGTGAGCTGATGGCTGATGAGAAGGTGAAGGGCAAAGCGTAGTTGAGATGTTGAAGCAAACGATGCCTGACCATACTGTTCCTCATAGCTCCGTGACCATGAATAAGGGCAGAGGCCGCACTTAAGACTTTTCATGCTATTTGATGTCACAGTAATAGAACAATATTAGATCACAGCATCACCGAATGGAACCACAATTGGAAAAGCAATCGAATCAATCCTTAGTCTACTCCTGTCACCTTTGACCCATGATACACGTCACGTCGTATTCGTACGATGCGTCTTCCTACGCCCGTCGATTTAGACGACGGGGAATTCTTGGGGGAGTGTGTAGGGGGCAGCAATCGACACAAGCGGGCGTGATCAATGCAATAATTTCTTTATGACCTTGTCCTGAGAGTATCTCAATCCACTGAACCCACGCCAGGCCAGAAGAAAACAACCCGACTTTCGAAGAACTTTTTTCCCTTCTCCGAAAGTGTTTTTGATGTGTCGAAAGCAGCAGCCGAAAATCCCATTTCCATGCAGCAGCTTAAGCTTAGCTGCACTAGTAGCCGCAGCATCAAACAAAGCCCCCCGACACCACAAGAGACGACAGCAGAGCAGCAGCGGTAGCAAAGACAGAGACGTGCTGCGTTTATTTCTTGGCAGCCTCGGCCTCGGCCGCGTCGCGGGCGCGCTTCTCCTTCTTGCCCAGGTTGCGGGCCTCGGCTCTCGTGTCGCGGAGCTTGCGGTAAGCACCGCCCTCGATGGGCTTGGGGAGGTCGGACTTGGAGATCTCGGAGAAGCCGGAGGCGGTCTTCTCGATGGGGAGGGCGGCGGAGAGGGACTTGACGGTCTCGGTCTTGGAGAGGTCGACCTTGGAGTCGCCCTGCTTGACCTTGTTGGAGCGGCGGGGGAAGACGACGAGGCGCTCCTTGTAGGCCTTGAGGCGGGCGACGTTGGCGGCCAGGGACTCCTCGCTCAGGTTCTTGCGGCGGCCATCGACGGCGATACCGATGGTGGGAGCGTAAAGGCGGGGGATACCGGCGGCCTAGCAGACTCGCGTTAACTCTCTAAACATTCCCAAATATTCGTCCTTCCTGGCACCGGGCGTGCCTCGCGGAGTTCAGTATCGTACCTTAAGCTCGTCCAGGGTGAAACCGCGGCCGGCACGGACCTTGCGGTTGTACTTGATGGTAGGGCATCTCACGACAGGGCGGAGCAAGTCGGTGGGACGGGGAGCGACCTTCGCGGCCTTGGCCTGACGGGCGACACGGCGGCTGTGCTTCTTGCCGGCCTGTTGTGATGTTCCAAGTCAGATCCAAATTCCTCTTGTGCCATTTCCTATTTTCCCAATCTCGTCTGTTTCCCCGGGGTAGGAAAAGAAAGAGTATCCTGCGCAGAAGAATCATACCTGGTCGAAGTGCGTCCGGACCCGGCGCTGCCAATCCTTGCGGAAGTCTGGTCAAATGGTGTTAGTACTCTGCTATGTCTCGATGGTCGTCGTCTTCGCAATCGTCGCTCTTCGCGTGGAGGGGTGCTCACGGTTGTGGGGGATCTGCTGGTTGTGTGCGATCGCCTAGAAAAAAGTCGAACGTCAGTATTTGCGATGCGACGCCATCAATGGCGAGTCTCGTGGGCATATCGACATACCATTGTGCCTGTATTGCGCGATCAAGGGGTTAGTAGTCCGGATGGGCCGTCGTCGAGATGCTGCTGCAGGCTTCGAAAATTCCTTGAGAGGGACGAGTCAAAATCTCTGGAGGGCATGAAAACCCTACGAAAGGCCGGTACGTACTGGAGGTTTTTGGGGTGGGACGGTCGCAATTGTTGATTGGCTGTGGGATCCACCTGGTGTGGCAGCGCGAAGGACAGGCGACGGCCGAACCCTATTCCGGATTTTCGTCTTGTGGCTGAGGCGATGGGTTTTTCAGTTTGCAAGTGGATTTCAGCTGGCAGGAACTACCTAAGGTAGCATGGGTAGGTATGAGAGAGAGCACTCATTGGTACCATGGAGTCCGTCGACGAAGGCATTCTATGCTTGATATCGCCGTCTTCAATCTCCCATTATGAAGGCTTGATTGCACCAGGGCAATTCATGTAGATAGTGCGTCCAATTTCCCATCAATCTGCGACTTTTACAAATTTGTCATATCCTACATCTCTCATTTCGTCAATGCTTTAAAGATCATAGTGCGCTACGAAAAATTGGTCCAGTGAAGTATAAGAAAGCAGCTAAGCCGCACATCTTGAACTCTGCGCCCAGCCAGTGAGTGCTTGTTCTTGTTGGTGACACCCTCCTGCTCAGTGCTCACTTGTTGTCGCAAGATACGTGTAGTACCCTTTCACCAGCTCCTTATGCCCGTCTTAGCTGATCTACGTTGGTACAAGCCTCGCATGATGCCGATGACCATCCATCTTACTGTCAAATATGAACAGCCGACGATGCACCGTATCTGGGAGTTCCACTGAGATGTCTCTTCCCTTAATTGGTCTACAACTCCACAATATCACTGCATCTTCGAGACGATGGTGCCTTCCCATCATGACATAGGTACTTTGACAGCTCAGTATCCGGCAGGTGGTGTAAGCTTGTAGCCCCTCCCAACTCATGCCCAGCTTATTCCTTCCCATCCATCGTTACCTAGATTCAATGAAATTCGAGAAACAGATACGTACTTCCAAGTGCTCCGTCCGCCTCAGGCACCTCGAAAAAGGGTCGCTGCGCACGTGACACTTCCTCACTCCCATTACTGATTGCGGCGCACCTTGGGAGATTGCAGAATATCTATATAATGCCCCGCTCTCCTCTCCCATTTCCACTGCTTTCCTCTTTTTCTTCTTCATACTTACCTTGATGGGCGTCCTGGGGATCATGAAATCCGGTACGCAGAGAGGGATGCCTGCATTGCACATCGTGGAGCCCTCCTCTCTCGATAGTCCTTCGGGGCCATCGCTGTTGTAATTTTTGATTTTCAACCCTTTTCATTGTGTGCTCTGCCTGGTGCAGCGTCATGAAGAAGAGACTTCTGAATGGTTTTTTTGATACTGTGAGAACGTCGAGGATCAGTTGCGTGCTACTGGTGCTAGATTTGTCTCCAATGTCAGAAGTCGCCGGATCACTTGAAGTGCGACACGAAGCTCCGTTACTTCATGATAGCTCCCAATTCTGTCAATGGTGGCGTAGAGGAAGCTGAGCTGTGCCAGACTCTCATTCAGGTAGTCGTCCATCATCCACAACGTCTCGGTGATCGTCAGCTAAGCTAGCTCGAAAGAAGCCTACCACGTCAAGTACGCGTCCTATGAGCAAGCACATCTTGGCTTGAATGTTCCGGCATTTGTCGATATTTTTTCCAACGGGGGCTACTCGCAATCTCTCCAGGTCTGCGGTGAAATTATACACTTAATGTCTGATGTTTCTCTGCAGCAGTGGAATCTCTGTTTCTGCGTGGATTTAATCAACCGCCATGGAACGCGAATATTTGGATCAGGTATCGCGATGCTTTCATAGATGAATTGGCCTCCCTTGCAAAATCAATCCTCACCAGTTCCCTCATCTACGCAGCATGTCTCCCTACACAGACACCAGCTGGTCCCAGCTGTCTTCAACTGTGGTCAGACACCAACAGCTCAAAAAGCTCCCTTCCCGAGCACCTGGCCCGTCGTCGTACGAGAAAAGGTCCCCGGGACAAGCCGCACCAATCACAACCCTCCAAAAAACCATGCAGCCCAGGTCCAAGGGGACCCATTCAATTCCCAGAGCTCCAAAAAATCTCATGACAAGTGCTTTTTTCGGCTTCTGCGTCGCCCCCCGTCCCATTCCCCCGTGTTCCGAGCCAGAGAGAGAGAACGTAACGTCGCCGACCTCCCGTCCAAGGCCAATTAAATCGACGAGCCTCAGTTGCCTCCCGAACCCCCCCGATCCCATCAGTCCGCCGAGGCAATCATCGAGACTACAACACCTGCTTCGACCAAGAAACACCACCACAATGGCATCCAGAGTAGGCCCCCGGAGCGCCTCGGACGCAACGCGCTTCACCTCGACCACCCCGCACGCCGCATCCAAGAGCTCTCCCACATCAGCAGAAGCAGCAGCAGCACCGACAGGGACATCGACAACAGCAACAGCATCCTCAACACCAGCCACAAAGTCACCACAGCCTCCCAAGATCCCCGGCCGGCAACCGGGCGAGAGCCCCGAAGACCGCGTCCGCCGCCTCCGCGCTGCTCACGAGGCGGCGCGCAAGGCCCAGACGTCCAGCCTCGACCGCGCCATCGGCGGCAGCCGTCGCTTCTTTGATGTCGCGCACAAGTTTACCGTCCTCGGGTTGGTCGGGTTTACGGGTACGTCTACAAAACCCCTCGTACGATTCTTGGAGCAGTGAGAATGGACATTATCCACGCGGCCAATTCGAGATTTGTCTCAAAGGAGCTTTATGGAGGAAGAAGATGAAGCAAGAAGCGAACAAAAAAGAGGCTAACACCCCCAAAGCAATCGCAGGTCTCGTCTCCGTCTACTCCGTCTACGACATGGTAACCTACAACAAGCAACGCCGCACCGACTTCATCGAAGCCCAGCGCAAAATGGAAGACGACGCCCTCGCCACCGCCCGCCTCGCCTTCATCAAGGGCACCGCCACCGACACCCAAATCACCCTCGTCGAGGAGGCAAACGCCCTCGCCCGCGAGACGGGCGTCAAGCTCCCGCCCTTGCTCTCCGCGCCCACCCACACGACGGGAGCCGAAAAGATCTTTGGCACAGGCCAGCAAAGGACCGCCGAAGCTTCCTCGACGACCGTTGCTCCCGCCTTCCCCACGACTTCTGAAGCCGCACCCGCCCCGAAACAAAAGAAGAGCAGCAGCTGGTGGCTCTTTGGCGGCAGCAGCAGCAGCAGCAAATCCGACGCCGCAGAGACCAGCTGGAGCGAGGAAGACGAGTCCTCCGGCGTCCGCGCCACGGACCTCGCGCGCGCCGTCGAGGACAGGAAAGAGTTCCTTCAGGACAAGGCAAAGGCCGCCTTCGAGCGCGAGAGGGAGAACCAGCGCCGAGGCGGCCCGCTGGACCAGGTCGGTCTCCCGCAGGAGGAGAAGAAGGCCGAGAAGAAGGGGTGGTGGTAGAGCAAACGACTGCTCACCAAGTTCTCGACGGCCGTTGTTATAATATGATACACGAATGAGGTGGGCCGAGGGAAGACGGCGAGGTCTTTGTATCTGAATGTGACGATAGCTGGTGCACTACAACAAAAAACAAGTCGGCTTTGGAGGAAGTGTACGAGAAACGACAATCTCCACCCCTAGATAGAGAGTCGGAGAGACGGACACCTACGTCGGTACAAAAATTGGGGGCGAGTTGGGAGAGAAGGGATGGCAAGGCCGTCTTTTACCACGGCGAGGACGACAAAGAGGAGGGAGAGGGGGAGGAGGCTGCCAAGTGTCACTGTATCATACGTGTTAGACTGGATTGTGCATTAGACGGCGTCCGGCTTTACAAAGCTTTGCATGCGGGAAAGGGGGCGAAATAACATCACCTTCGTCTTTGCACAGCCAAGTTCCGTTCTACCGCGAAGCATCCCGTACCCCGAAACCCATGTTTACTCGGGTTCACTTGCTTGACACAGATACGATCTTTTCCCGAGTATCACTCGTCATTCGATACACAGTCACATGTGTAGAACGGAAGTCTGACAATGAACAGCGCTGGCGTATTTTCGCCGCTTAATTATGTCCTTTGGACCGGTATTATGTACAACCGCGAAAACGCTTCAAGAATGCAGGCTTCCGCCGAGTCTCAAACTGCCACGCCGGGCCAGTCGACTTCCCAATCCCAAATCATGCTTACCGGTAACCTATGAACCGTGAAAACAGAGCTTGCCCAACAAGCCCCGAGCGAGTGTAAAGTATGTGCGCTAAATGTGGTATTACCGCAAGCCGAGACTCCCATGTCTCTGAAAACCCCCGTCCCGAAATCATGATTTCCGTGCCTACTCGACCGGAACACACCATCCTGATTGAATCAATGCAATCGCTTGTCGATCTTGTAACTCTTCAAAGCACCTTTCGTCAAACTCTCTCCGTTTTTGTTCTTCTCTAGGGCGATGCCTGTTCCGTTTGGGAAACATCTGCAACGCCAAATCATCGGGCAAAACGATTTCTTGCCCGTTCTATGAGACAACAATGTGATTAAAGTGGCCCGGCACCTTGAGGCGGCACTTTTCGCAATCAGCACGGTAACCGATGCTGAAGCTCTTCTTCATGCCAGGCTGCCAAGTCCACGAGTTGACAGTGTGCCTAGATCGAATGTGTCCCTTGCGTCCAGGCGAGGGTGTTGCCGGTGCTGACGTCGTTTCAAGGGGAGCGGCGTCAATGGTAGTGGTGACGGGATCATCACTCATCATGTGTGAGTGGTCCTCCACATCCATCATGCCCATATCGTGATGATCGTGTCCGTTGAGAGACGACTGTTCTAAGCGGGCAGTCAGGTTGGACGGGAAACCATTATCGAGGACCATTCCCGGGGGGCTCAGGCTTCCGCTGCCCAGATGGCTCGCCGAGTCCTCGCCTTCACTAATAGGCGACGGCAGACGGCGATTCTGGATGCTGTGCCAATCGTCGGTGCCTTCCATGGTACGAGGAATGGAACGGGACTCGTCGCTGCCGAAGCCGGCATGCATGTGGCCCATATTCACTACGCCGGTACGATGGCTCACCGCGGGACCCGGGCCGCGCCAGTCGCGCGCTGAGGAGCCGCCATTCATGAATTGGGAGGCAAAGTTTGGCTGAATCGGGGTGGGCATACGGCCGTTGACAGAGGCGGGCTGGTCTGACTGGATGTGCTGCTGCGGGACAGGAGGCGGCGACATTGTGTCCATCATGTCCATGTCACGATCGGGCTCGGTCGGACCAAAGGGCGAGGGCTGGCAAGACATGGGCGCGGGTGATGACGACCATGGCGAGAAGTGTGACCTGGGTTGTTCCTCTGAGTCCGAGTCGCCTGGTGTCAGAGTGCAAGGAGCGGCGTTGAGCGGTATAACGGGTGTCGACCAGCGCTTCGAGGAGGTCGGCGATGTTCGGAGGGGTAGGCATTGAAGGCGTTTCTGTTTCACGGGGGGAAAAGTCAGTAATGCTATTCCAGATGATCACAGAGAAGAGGGTCAAGCAAGAAATGGGCATGGCCTACGTTTCTGTGTTCACCAAAGCTCAGAGTGCCATTGTGCATGTCCTCCTCATCGTCACGTCCTCTCTTCCGAGTTAGGTCTGGGTGATGCTGGATTCCGAACATGGTGAAGGCCGTGGTGGGGAGGAGGTGTGGTATGGGTGTATGTAAATGGAATGGGATTGGATGCGACTTTGGTGAACGGCTAGCGGATGAAATGCAGAGGCGCAACTAGCGATAATAATCGTCGAGACTCGGATATTGGTATGTAAAGTTGATTATGTCGTTCGGTATGTTGAAGAAGAGAAGATGGACAGGACAGGACAGAATGACGATGGATGGCACCGAGTGTGCCGTGGCTGCCTTTCTTCTGCTCGTGCACGTACTGAGTGCTGGGTGCTTGCTGGGTGTAGGTGCCAAGTTGCCCCGGACTGAAGGTGCCGGGATGGGCGGGGGGGTGGTTGGTTCAAGGTTGTGGTGGCAGGCGCGGGCGTAGGCGCAGCTGCGGGTGCAAAAGTGACAGGCAGGCAGTATCCGTAAAGGGAGGGGGCCTCGTATTTGGCCTGGCGGGTTATTGAATTCTATCTGGTCGCTACTGCGTACTACTTCGCGCAAAGGGAGGCTGAGTCGAGTTTAAGCAAGGTGATGCTGCGATAGTTGTAGAATGAGAGCGGAAAGAGGAGAAGAAAGATGGGAGGGAAGAAGCAGAAGGAGGAGCAAGAGTTGGGGACTCGGAGGAGGTTGACGTTGCGCAGTGCGTGGTGGGTGGTGGTGGTGCGTGGTGTAAGTCGCACCCGATGAGGCAAGGCTTCGATCTGCACAGCGCCTGTGGTCTGCGGTCTGCGGTCTGCGGAAGCTGTGGACGGTGGGCTGCCTGCAGTAATTCACCTGGGGAAGGACAGGATGAGGTGGGAAGATCCGGTGGCCTGGTCGTGATTGGAGATGCTGCAGTTGTTGTCCGACGCCAGCTTCCCTTTTGTTCTTTTCTTGGATGACTCTCGTCCTGAGTACTGGCTGTGATGGACGAAGATGGCGTTGTATCTCAGAAGGCAAGGTAGGAAGGTATCTTGGAGAAACCAGAAAAGCCAAACCGAGTTGTCGGGAAGGGGGGCAGTCGCAGGTAAAGTAATCCGCCAGGGAAGCAGCGAAGCAGAGACAGGCAAAATAAGGTACTTTGTCCGTACATGGAAGTTGCACACAATGGAAGGATAGCAACTTGAGCACCTTCTTGCCTTGTAAGCCACCTCGAGAAACGGCGACACGAGGCAGCAGGAACGACAGAGACCAGTGACGGCAGCCTGCCAAAAAGCGGAATAGCGCGAAGACGCCACAAAAGGGGGGAAAGCAAGAGGCACCAGGAGGCTCCTTCCCTCACACCTCGCCTCGCCTCATCTACCTAACGAGTAACACCCAGTACCTTCCTTCCTTCCCAATACCTAAGGTACCTAGAACCTACCGGTATTCAATTCCCTCTTTCTCGATGTTCAATTTCCATTGGCAGCCTTGAGTCCCCGCCCTGCCTGTGCGGTAGGTACATCCTCAGGACTTCCATTAGCAAGAAGGAAGGCAGGAGAAAAGAATTGCAGAAAAAAAAGGCCAAAGCAAGAAGCCGAAAGGGCCCAGACCGTCAAGGTTCTTCCCGGACCAACGGTTTAGGGGACGTACCGCCTCCACTTGCACCCCTAAAGTTTTCTACCTTAGGCAAGCGCGCACACCCACGCAACCACGCACCCTCCACGGCAAGCACGACACGGGAGGTCGGAGACTCGGAGGTGGAGACAGGGAGGAGGAGGAGGGGCGCTAAGACGGCGCTAGTTCCACCCTGCTGGAATTCAACCCGCCGGGAACCTGGGAAAAGAAAGGCAAGAGAGCATATGAAAGACAACAAAAGATCTTGTTCAATGGAGGGTGGTTGGGTTCTCATGGAATGTGATGGCGTCAAGTTGCGAGTTCAAAGACCGTAGGGAGACGAGAGCTGACTGCCATACTACACGTTGGGATACGAACATCGAAGAGCAATGCGAATGGGTTCGAGTGTTGGACTGTCTCTCTGGAAATGAGAAAAAGACCGTGACAAGGCAATAACTTGGTCCCAAATCGTCCAAGCAAATTGGGGATCAACCACGACCGCAAGACAAGGACAAGACTAATACCGGGATCGGAGAATAAGAAGAGACATGCAACATTCGGTTTGCAAAATGCGAATGTGTGATATAGGGCATGGTGGCCTTAGAAACGAAAAGGGAAAAGAAAGCAATGGCCAAAGAGCTGCTATTCCTACCAGCCCAATATCCAAGTGACCGGGGGCATGTTCAACGTCCTGATACTTCCCAGTGTGAAGATATCCGAGTTCTTTTCTTCTTTCCAGCTCGCACCGTTGCTGGAAAGATTGTAGCATTTCATGTGTCGCGTGCCCATCTACCACAAACCAACATGACAACTTGCTCACCCCATCTCACAGACCAAACATCATAAACTTGCTCTCGCTCCTCGCGTCAAAACGGGCGGACAAAGTCCCCATCAGCTACACATCCCTGATGAAGATTAGACTGACTGGCAACTGCTGACCGACCAAGAACTTACCCTTTCCATCACCTCGTACCTGACCTCAGAAACCTCGAAAGGAGCAAAACGGCCGCTGGAGAAGACGAGGGTATCTGTGCCAAAGAAAGTTGCAGGGTCACGTACGTTCGTTCGAGGCGACGTGACCTTCTTGCCGCTGCATGGCGATTTGCTGGTTCGTCCCGCCTGTTCAACCTCTGGCACCCTGTGGCATGTTCACACATTTCTTTTTGGTGTCTTGGTCGTTGAAAAGAGGTATCTTCACAGGGTGACAGGACACTCTAAGGGACGTGATGGGCTGCGGTGTGTAGTGGTGTTGAGGGCTGCGTTTCAGGATTGCTTCATGAGAGGCCGGGGTGGGTGGGATGAAAGCGGTTGAGTGGGCGGGTTGGGTTGCACCACCAGGACTTTTCCGACCATGACGGCGGGGTCACGGGACTATTCGTGATCGCTACGGAGTAATCCTTCACGATATCCTTTTGGGGCGAGTTGGTTGTGGATGGGAGGCGAGTCCCTAGAGAAGATCGTGTTGCGAAGGGTGTTGAACTTGAGTGGCCATCTTACGTCGTCGTTGAGGTCATCGTCTGCACCCAGGCTTTCTACATACCCGGTCTTTAGGTCTACTCGATGGCAGTAATCACCAGGTAAAGAACGTCTATCGGACTCATGTGTAGCTATTTACGCGATGTCATAGTCACGATCTAGGTATGAAAGTAAATAAGGCTTCCAGTGCGAAAAAGGCCAGCCGCACCTTTCCTCTTCGGCCACCTCGCGAATCTCAAAAAGCCTAAAGACGCGAATCGGCCCAAACTTGCGCAAGATCTGGTTCCACGGCCTGAGCCATGCCGCAAACCTCGATTGCCAAGAGGCTCGCTCTTCGGCGAACAGCACAGAGCCGCAGGTTCCAACTGATGGTACTACCACGACCCTGCGTCAAAAGGCAGAATAAAGCAATGGCCAAGACGGAGCGTGAGGCCCGTCTTCAACCCAATGGGCCTTACCCTACCTGACAAGGTGTTTGGTTGATGATGTTGCTGTGTTTATAGATGATACATCTCACGTCCGCGTAGAATCCATTTATACCTACCCAAAAGTCGTATCAGAGTTGCATGTCTCAGCCGTTCCTTTCATAATCTCTGACGCTACGTCAGCTATCCGCCGTCAGGGTACCATCTGCGATAGATATACCTACACGGAAATGCAACTTGGGCATATCTGCCAAAATACGGTAAGTCGCAATGCAGAATCCTTGCGTGTCCGGGCCATGAACGTGCGCCAGCAACCGCGCAGACGAGCACACAAGACGGCGCTGGTCCCCCGCCTAAACCCCACGAGTCGTTCACTCTAAAAGGCAATGATTGAGACTGGTCGGACGGGCCAGCCGAACGCACAGCCGTACGTCCGTTCTTCTGAGGGCTTTGGGCTCTCGGTAGCTGAGTCACGGTTGACTGAGAGGAACGAGATCAGACGCCGGTTTACTGGTACCCCAAAGCAGTTGGTGTTCTGCCACGGCTCGTTGCATACTGCCTGACAAGCTTGAGTGACAAGTGACAAGCTTGACCGTTTTGATAGGATTTGACAGCCTTCGTTCGCCAGTAATCATTAAATTTGAAGTTGCGGGCGCCTAACATTGAGCATGGTTGCCAAATATCACTTCACCACATCTTTCAGCCTCGTTCTTTTTTCCTCTCCATATGTATACCTACTTATACTCGAAGGCTAGACCAGTTCCTATTCTGACGGAAACCAGCATATGAAGATACCCATCCTAGAAGGAAATCTATTTTGAACAAGGCCAAGACTTTGATCCGCGAAACGTGACCAGAACCAACGTCGATCTCTCCAAGGTCTCGTCAGAGAGCCGGGGCCAACGGCGTGTGGGTTTCACCTCTATTTGCGGTCGACCAAAGCCTCGTTCACGGAGCTCTTACATGGCATTCTCGTTGCAAGTTGAAAGACGACAGCGGAGAACAACGTGTATCAAATCATGGTCCCATTTTCAGCCTTGTCCTTTAGCTGTCCCTCCCGCAGGAGGTTGAAAGTGGGTTCGCCGGCCTCGTTGTGAGGCGGGTCGGGGCCGCGGGGGGCTGGAGGATGTAACGGCGCCAGGCGGACGCACCTGGAACGCTCACCTTAGGTCACCTTGGTCTAGTGCCGGCATCGGTACCCCACAAACCGAGGTGAGGCCTAGGTGAGACCGTGAGGGAATTGGCCAATGAGATGTTGTCAATTTCTCACAAAAACTCTTGCTTTTCTTTTCGTTTTTTTTTCCCTATGAAAGAAAGAAAGAGGGGCGTTTAACGCTAACGGCGTCTCATCTCTGTTCAAGGCCTCCAACGTCAGGAAGCACATGTAACACAATTCTTTCTCTCGTCTGACATGATTAGACTCGATGTGACTATCTGGGTTTTTGTATAGTTCTTGAGGGAGCCATCGTAAGCAGGAGGGAGAGTTGTGAGCGGTGAAGGGGAAGAGAGGAAGAATATTTCCGCTGTATGCTGGTGCTGGTGCATGCATCTGCCCACTCAGATACCCCTCCAAGATTTTTTTCTGCCCCGCCATCGGCGCCATCGGCGCTTCCTGACTCTCACCCACTGTTTAGCATAGAATGGTCTTCTTCACTGCGTCACCGTCGCGTATCGCCGTCACCCACTCCGCCCATGATTCCGTGGATAAATTCTGGTCAGCCGAGAATGAGATGACTGGATCTGTGACGTCGACGGACCCAGAATTTGTGCGGACAACCTCACTTTGGAACGACGAAGATAGCAGAAAGTGACTCGCAAAGGGAAGAGTTACACAGTAAATACCCCGCCAAATGATTGAAGTAAAGAATTGTCCAGACAGAAAGAGACTAGGCACACGTGGGACAAGAGGCGCCAACAGCGCATTTCAACGCAAGTTGAGCATGATATTGTCCTAGTTAGGTACCTCCTGGCCAAAGGAAAGGAGGCAAGATACCTTGGGACCTCTCTCCGGCGGGATTGCCTCCGAAAGAAGCAGAGGGCTCCGCGTCCGCCGCCGCCAGTCACAAACCACACAAACACAGTGACCAGTGACACACAAAGGGACGGGGGGAAAACAGTGTTTTTCAAGTGGCTTCATCATTTATTTTTTGAATTTTCTACCTGAACAAAAAAAAAACGAACCCACTCTCTGAGTCACCGCCCAGCACAGTCTTCGACCAACACCCCCCAAAAAAGGCCACTACCGGACGCTCCCCTTCCCCTGTGGACGAACATTCATCCTCCCACTCCTCCAGGCTCGGTCAACGACGGCTCAAGCAACGAATTCACCACACGATACCCCGTCAGATCCAATAGGCGACCGGCTGTTCGTCCGCTCTCCTTTTTGTTAATCTCAGTGTAAGCTTATTTCCCTACCCTTGATTGGCCTTATTTACTGCCTGCTACGCGGCGGGAGATCGACCTCTTCGTTGAACCTGGGGAACCGTTTCGGGGTTGGTGGGTGGTTTTTGCGGTCAATCTCACGATGGGCAGCATCCACCACCAGCGATGACGATGGAGGAGGGGTCCAATCGCTCTAGCAGTGCTTCAAGATGAGAGAAACAATGTCACTGACTAACATTGGTTCAATTTTGCAGTTTTCAAGATACCCCAAACCCATCAACACATAGCCAAAATGCCCGGTCTCGACCTTGAGCATGAGCCCCTCGCGGCTGACGACGTGAGAAGTGAGTCACTATTTTTTCTCTTCGTCTATCTCTCCAACACAAGGTGGATGACTGAGCCCACCCATCTTGGGAAATGTCACTCATGGACCCCCTACCGCTCTGCCCCACACAAGCTCTTCATCTCAAGCTGCAATCTTCGTTCACATCAAGACTTTACTCAAACTCGTCGTTGAATAATTCGGCACTCAATCTTACTCTAATTGCACCCGGCTCACTCACTGTCGTTCTCACCAAACACCTTCATGTCATACCTCACTCATCTCACTCAACTCACTCACACCGTCACCACCGCCGCAAACCCACAATCACAAACATCACCACAATGCTCAACCAACGACTAACGCACCCTCAGTCCTGGGACAGGATCCCCTGATCCCTCCCGCCCTTCTCTCCTCCGAGATCCCCATGACCGACGCCGCCCTCCAAACCGTCGTCCGCGGCCGCAACGAGGCCGTCGACATCATCATGGGCAAAGACGACCGTCTCCTCGTCATCATCGGCCCCTGCTCCCTCCACGACCCAGCCACAGCAATCGAGTACTGCGCCCGCCTCAAGGCCCTCGCCGCGAAGCTCTCCTCCGACCTCTGCGTCATCATGCGCGCCTACCTCGAGAAGCCGCGCACCACCGTCGGCTGGAAGGGCCTCATCAACGACCCGGACATTGACTCCACCTTCAAGATCAACAAGGGCCTGCGCATCTCCCGCCAGCTCTTCAGCGATCTCACGACTGCGGGTATGCCCATCGCCAGCGAGATGCTCGACACAATCTCCCCCCAGTTCCTCGCCGATTTCATCTCGGTTGGTGCCATCGGCGCCCGCACCACGGAATCCCAGCTCCACCGCGAGCTCGCCTCCGGCCTGTCCTTCCCCGTCGGCTTCAAGAACGGCACCGACGGTAACCTGGGCGTCGCCATCGACGCCATTGGTGCCGCGGCTGCGAAGCACCACTTCATGGGTGTCACCAAGCAGGGCCTCGCCGCCATCACCCGCACAAAGGGCAACGAGCACGGCTTCGTCATCCTCCGCGGCGGCTCCCACGGCCCCAACTTTGACAAGGAGAATGTCCAAAAGGCAAAGGACACGCTCACTAAGAAGGGCCAGAAGCAGGCCATCATGATTGACTGCTCCCACGGTATGTCCCCTGTCCTAACTTACAAGCACATCAAGACCTAACACACCACAGGCAACTCAAACAAGGACCACCGCAACCAGCCCAAGGTCGCCGCCGTCATCGGCGACCAGCTCCGCGAGGGCGAAAAGTCCATCATCGGCGTCATGATCGAGTCCAACATCAACGAGGGCAACCAAAAGGTGCCCGCCGAGGGCCCCGCCGCCCTCAAGAAGGGCGTCTCCATCACCGATGCCTGCATCGACTGGGACTCCACCGTCGACGTCCTCGAGGGCCTCGCCTCCGCCGTCCGCGCCCGCCGCGAGCGCAACGCCGGTTCGGCCAACGGCAACGAGGACTCGCACAAGGTTACCCACCTTGAGGAGGAGTAGAGCAATCGTCACGTCTAGTAAAAACGACTAGTTTGTGATTTTGTGAGCAAAGAGAGGAAACACCCAAAAGAAAAATAGGGGGATGGAGGGGCTTTGATTGGATGAAATGGAACATACCAACCCCATATGCATAGCATTTGCATTTTTCAAGGCTCCAGGGAGGAAATCAAGAAAAGTGATTTTTTATGCGGTTTATAGTCACGGTTGCATGGGTTCATGATACATGCGTCCTGGGTTGCTCGAGGGCGCCGAGGACAATTTGGAGAGATAGATAGCTTCGCAAAACGGCTTCTTGAGTCTCCTTCAACTTTGTAAACCTTGGTGATGCCAACAGCTCGATGCTGTACCGTCCCGTGATATTCCTACATAAGCCTCACCCATGAACTTGAACCCAAATCACGCCCACCCAAACGCCTTTCCTAAACCCTAGTACCCTTTGTGCCAGATATCAAGTCGTATCAACTCGGCCTCGCAGGCGAAAGCTGGCTATAATCCCCCCTCCCCCCAGAAGCAGCAGCGGCATCAGCCGCCCTCTTCCCCTCCCGCAGCTCATTCGCCCTCTTAAACACAGCCCACCCCAGCAAACCCGATGTGCCTAGCAGGAACCCCCACACAATGACGCGGTCCTTGTTGCTGTCGCGCTGGAAGCACATGGTCTGAACGTCTTCGTCTTTAGCCTTGCTGCAGAAGTCGATGCCGCGGCTGAGGCAAAAGGCCTTTGTGCATTGCGAGCAGGAGGAGGAGGCGGCGCGCTTGTTGAGGAGTGAGGAGGAGGAGGAGGTATCGCGACTGGACGGAGGTGCGTTGCCTGGTGGTTCGCCGTCTGCTTTTTGGGGGCCCAGTGCTACGATGGTGCTGTTTTTGAAGCAGGTGCATTTGCAGAATGTTGGTGCTGCTTGGAGGGGTGTTAGTATGTCTTTGTATTCGGTGTTGGGAGAAGGACTTGGCATTTGCGATGGACTTACAGTTTGCGCTGACGAGAGCGATGATGCCGCATAGTAGCAGCAGAATCATTGATATCCGATTCATTGTAGCGAGCTGCGTCCACTGCCGACCGGATCTGGGTTGTTTCTCGCGACGGCGCGGGAGGTGGGTGAAGTTGTCGCCGTCTTTGGCTCGCCGTCAGAGAGGTGACGGACGCACGAGCCACAACCGGAGCGGATCAGGGACGTGACCCACATAGATGTGGCTGGAACCCTTGCTGAAGTGTGGCTGAAGCTTCCCTATCTCTGATTCGCCAGCAGAACCCCAGCATCCAAAAAAGTTCAATTGGAGACTTTGAAGCTCCCCCTACCGAACATCGTGCTGTGTCTTTCGCCCGTACCTGGAGTGGAAGAGGAATATCACCAACCTTCAACCTCTACAACACATCACAACACTGCCGCCCACAATGCGCCGTGTGCCCCGTCTCAGGCAGCCAAGCCTGCTGGCAGCCTCCCCGATCCAATGCACCTGCGCCGCGCCCGCCACATTCCCCATCTCAGCAACAGCATCACGAGCCCTCTCAACGACACCCGCAACCCCCAGCCGCGTCCGTAAGTTCCTCTGGAAAGGCGGCGACGCCCCCGGACCCGAAGACCCCTACGCCGCCGAATCCTCCCAGGCCCTCCGCCAGCAGCGCATCGCGCAGGAGCTAGCCGAGGCCGAGGCCGAGCTGGCCGCCTTCGAGGCCGATAGCCAGCAGACGCAGCGGGCCGAGCAGAAGCGCCGCCAGAAGCCCCAGAGCCGGCTCGCGCACCAGATCAAGAATAAGCGCGTGTGGGCGCCGACGGAGAAGGAGGTCGAGGGAGGAGACTACGTGCCCGCCAAGACGATTGATGGGCTCGAGGAGATTGGTGGGCTTGAAGGGTGGTGGGAGCAGGAGGGCCGCTGGGGCAGGGAGAGCGAGTACGTTGGCTTCGCGAGTGCCGGTGAGGTTGTGACAGATGCCGATGTGTGCGCTGCGCGCGTGAGGCAGGCTGTTGTTGAGGCGCTTGCTGTTGCTGGGTCTTCTGCTGAGGTGCAGAGCCGGTTGACGGCTGCGTGGGCCAGGGGCGATGCGGAGGGCTTCAGCAGGGCGACGGCGCTGGGATTGAAGATTGGGGAGGATGGTAGCGTCTCTCTTGAGGGTGATTCTGCGGCGATTGAGGGCGTCGTCGCGCCTTTGCTGGAAGCTCAGGAGGCGCAGACCTCAGAGGGCGCTGTCGAGGCTGCCGAGGCGAAAGCCTTGGTAGAGGCATGGGGCGAAGCCTGGAAGAGCATTTCTCTCGAGGACGCACGATTCAAGTTTGCTGTAAGTCTTCCCCCCTTTACTAGCAAAAGGGGCCGAAACCATTTTAACACTTGCTGCGACAGGTCCACAAGCGCGTCTTCCAACTGACGGGCCACCGCGTCCACGACGCCAAGCTCGCGCAGATCAAGACGGTCGGCGACCTCATCGCCACCGTCGTCAAGCCGCCCAAGCCCACAAAGGTCGCTGAGGCCATTGCCCAGCAGGGCGCGTTGCTCGATCTGCCCAACGTCCGCGTCCGCGACCGCCGCGTCACACCCATCGACAAGGAGACCGAGGTCGGCCGCTGGAAGGTCATGGAGGCGGAGCTCAAGAAGAGAGGTCTGCCCGTTACCGGACACAAGCATCTCGCCAAGCCGGTGCAGAGGGCATGGATCCAGGGCAAGGCGTAAGGAGAGAGGGTGTAGTGGTGATGTCGATGAGAAAAGGCGGAAGACCAAAAGGAGAAGGAAATGTGTCTGGTATAGAGGAGACTTGTACAGATATTGTACTCTTTGTAACATATGGAATATCAATGATTCTTGCTCTGGTAATATTTGGATCTTGGCTACACTTTTGAGTTGGAAAATATCTTCAGTAATACCTCTATCTAGCCAAGTTCAAGTCATGTTGGAATTCATGCTCGGACGAACCATCGTCAACATGTCTTTATTTATTTGACTCTTCCACATCCCATCCATAAACAACGAGAAGTAGGCGTTGGCAGTTTCTACCTAGTCTCTGTCTCTCCCTTTGGGCCCGTTTGTTCACAATAGACATCACCGTTCTGCATTGTTCTTATGCGGATACGTGCAGAGCAAATACATACGGCCAACAAACAGACGGACCTCGACCGGGAGAGGTGTGTTTCGTGGCATAGGGCTTATTCTGTGATGTTTCCCTATCGACCTCACCTTCCTTTCACAAATATGACTTACTTCACCTTCCTCCATCCGTCTGAATATTTCAGCCTTGCCAAAATATCACCCTTTTCACCCTCCTTGCCTCCTCGCCCTCTCGGATTTCTATCCTTTTCCACCTACCGTATCTCGTCATCTTCCATTCTTCTTACAACACTTTCCACCATTCAGACCTGCGCTATTCTCGTCAAGCACTCATCGCACAATTTCTGGCCGTAACTTTGCCCGAGATCCTTTCCCTTGCATCACATTGCGCCAAGCTACAAAAACTCTCCTTTGCTTTTTTTCATATTTTACCTCTAGTCAGCATATGACAAGGATCCTTCCAGGTAAATTATCCTGAAAATCCTTTGCCCCTTCCGCTGACGACTCATCCGTCTATAGGATGTCTTCACCTCCAGACATGAGAGGGTGGTCCCCGGTCATCAGGTTAGAGAGGTGGCTACAATGGGCAAGGTCTCAGAAGCTGCCCGTGTACAGGCAGTACCCGGAAAAATCTGCAAGAATTGACAAGGAACTCAAATCAGTCTCCTGGGACTTTGATTTGTCGGCTTTTCCTCGCCTTGGGGACCAAGAATGCTGGAAGCGTATGTACTCTGCACTTCGGTATCCGGCACGCAACCCCAACGAGCATTACTACATCAATGCACTCAACGCTGTCGATTGCGAGGTGTCGAGGATCCTCAACAATGGGAGCATGCACCAGACACTCGTCGACTTGGCGAGGAAGGCCGGCTTCGACGCGCGCAAATGTTGCGACCCGTCGCTCTCGAAGGAGCAAAGAAAATATGAGCCTCCGAAAGGATCTCGGCAGATGGACAGTGCTGACGCACACACAAATGACAACCTAGGGGCACTCCCTTCCGGGCAAGTTGGTCTGCAGGAACCGCGCAACTTCGCGGCTCTCTCGGAGCTCTTGTTTCAGCAGGAGGCCCTCAAAGAGAAGAACGAGGCTGCAGCTGCTTATACGACTCCAACAAGCGCTGTTGCGCCCTTGACCGGCAATGGAGGCGGCTCGCATCGACATGCGAGCGCGTCCTCTTTTGAAGGCCCCAGAACTGAGCCAAAGGCATTAGCAAAGAGTGCCACGATGAACGAGCACGTTCGCTTGCAATCGAGCAAACAGCCCTTGTCGGTTCAAGAGCCAGACGTTGCTGGAAGACTGTGTTCCGAGGGGACAATCAGGGACCTCACAGATCAAACGGTACACCCGATATCCAGCGACCCAGATTCGAAAATGAAAATCAACGGATTTGTTATCCCAAAGAGACAGCGCGGGGGTAGCGTCCAGCAAGAGAAGGCTATAGCCTTTGCGAGGCCAGAGTCGAGATCAGCAACGAGCACAGCCTCGAGAGGAGGGCCATCTGGTTCCCAACCCCCGCTCTCGAAGCAGCCCCCTATTCAGGTCCCCACACACGCTCAGCGAACTTTGGAACAACAGACTCGACGAGAATCGAGTGGTTTCTTGAGCGGCTCTCCACCCCAGCATGGCGCATTGGCCAGAAGACCGAGTGGTACTAAAGGATGCGAACTTTCGACGCCGTCAACTCCACCGCCACAAGCCTCTTCCAGCAAAATCCAGCAACGCGGTAGCCTGGTAGTCAATGCAGAGTCTCAAGAGCAAAGTGCTCCACTGGCAGAACACAAGACGGCTAAGCAACCCGTTGTGGTCTCGACCCAGGAAAACACGACCCAAGGGCAAAACCTCACAAGTGCGTTGACGAAGAAGCTTGAGGCGACTATCAACCAGAATCTCCTGGAAGCAATCCGAGGAGTCTACCGCAGCTCTCCCAAGTTGATGGAGGGAAAGATACGAGGATGGCTTGACGGCCCAGAGTACCGCTCCATGGGATTCGCTGTTCTGCGGGACGTTGAGAGCGAGACGACGAAGATGGTTAGAGAGTCTCTCGTCGCCAAGATGAGGGCCATGGAGCAAATTGTCAAGGGCTCTGAGAATCCGCATCAAGCGGAGTCACTCCGGGACACCAAGCGCAAGGCTGATGAAAAGGATGCGGAAGGAGGTGACCAGGGTCAACAGGCTGCGAAGCGGCAGCGGGGCGAAGGTGGTGGCAGTGGTTGTACTGCATGAGCTATGTTGGCAGACCGACCGTTTAGATACTGACAGTGGACAACCGGGATATGGCATTCTCGACAATCGCGTTTGGAATACGGTCTAAGCTTGGTTATGGATTAAGGAGGATATCCTATTGGGAATTGTTTGCTTTGGCGTTCGTATCGGATGGATATGCTTTTTGAGGATTACTCATACCCCTTTGATGTATCTTACGAAACGACAATCGTGTCGATTAGCATGCATGGTTAGCCTAGTAGAACTCCCTTTGGAAGGGCTGGGCGAAGATTCAACCCAACAAGCGCCAACGTCAAATGTGAAATGTCATACAAGTAGTCATGTTTCCTCACATAAGCAACACTGAAAGCTTCATTCAGCCCTGAAAAGGGCAAGCAGCTCGATTCTCAGCTACTTAAGTCATGCGTGACCGAACTCTAGTTCGGTATAGAATAGGGAGAATTTCCATTCCCCGTTCCATCACGCGTAAGCAAAAACGCTTCATGCCATTCAATCATTCCATCTTCCTCGCTCCCGTCATATCAAGTTTTCGTTTGTGAATTGTTTCTGTAGAAGGGGTTGTTAGATGCGTATTTTCTCAAAGAGAGAATGAGGGTAGTGTGTGGAAGACGTACACTCAAAGTGGAAGTTGCCGTCGTTGTTGGACAGGCGCTCGCACAGGTTCACGTCGGCGTCGATGGCCTGGCCCTCAACGTTGAAGAGGCGGGCGCGGAGGATGGGCTGGTCGCCCTCGAACTCGAAGCGGATGCTCTCGGCGGAATCAGCGAAGCCTACGAAAGGAATACGTTAGTGAAATCTGTCGCTTCATATCATGGGAGGAGATACTGGTCAAGGGAGGCAGCCCGGGTTTCTCCAGTGAGATGTAGAGTGTGTATGGGAGTGCGAAGACAAAGGGGAGGAAGAGGAAGAGGATTTAGACATACCGCGGCCACCCCAGTCGAAACGGCCGTTGTCGTTGCCGAGGCAGTCGTTGAGGTTGCACTCGGCGTCGACGAAGTCGCCGTTGCCGTTCTGGAGACGGGCGCGGAGGATGTGGCCGTCGTCGACGCGGGTGTCCTGGGCGGAGTGGTGGAAGTTGGACATTTTGGCTGATGTTTGTTTGTGGAGGTTGTCTTAGGAGATGAATTGAGTTTATTCAGAGGGAAGAAGAAGAGCTGCGGGTGAGTGGGGGATGGGAAAGCTTTATATAGATGTTGAATGTCGTCAGGACGGAGGATGACGAGGGTAGGAGTGACGGGGCAGCTGCTTGTGGCTGGAACCTTATTCACATCAAGCTGGAGAACAGGCAGGAAGCTCGGGAGGGGCAAGGGGGGGTGAAACTGTGGAAGAGAGAGGCCTCCATTGTATTCACTGGGTACTTTGTCGTCTGTTGCAGACACGTGGAGGTGGGAAATGGCGGTCTTGAGAAGAGGAGAGCGGGTTCCCATTGGCGATGGAAGCTTCTCCTTGGCCGGGACCGCTGTCCACGCCCTGCTTCTACCTCAGGGAACCTCAGGGAAGCTTCATGTTCTGGTCCATGAGCCTAGAGCTGAATCCCTCAGCCATTGGCAATATCTGGGCTCATCCTTGGCCCTGCCAGTCTGGCCCTATAGGGAGAAGCTAGCTTCACGCCCATGAACCAGTTGGATCCGGATTGCTCACTTCCCATAGATTCGGTTCGTTTCTGTGCCTAGCATGTCGTAACCTGTGACCTCTGGTTTCCATGGGAGGTGGTGTCACGATGCTGGCTATTCTTGCTACGTAGCTCATGGAGCCAAGAGCCTCCTCCGCTGACAGGGGGGAGGGGGCAGGCATGGGAGCTTCCAGGAGAGCTCGTTGGTTGGACAGGGGGCAAGACGAGGCGAGGGTGAGGCTAGGCGATGGAGGGGCGGCGGGGTGGGAGCTTAAGTGGGATGGATGGAGGGGTAGCTCTGCTCTGGTTCCCATTTCACGTCACGGCGATGCCGGGTACGGATATTTCGTATGGCTGTACGGCATTGAGTGCCTAGTAAGTCCACGGCGTAATAGGAGCTGCCTTTGGCACCTTTGGCAGACTAAGGTAGGTAGCTACTCAATGCCTCTAATGCACTCCCCACGCCATGCCTCGAGTCTATTGATGCCCTTCTTCTTCTTGCCATTCGACCCCGCCGGCACGAGGGTGCCGAGGGCTCGCGATGGGGGCCGCTTGGCGTACATGAGGGGACACGCCTCTCATGCAGGGTGCGACTGGGACAAACTGGGACACGTTTGGATACGGGGGAGCCAGGGACGACTGAGAGGCCACGAGAGGTTTCTCTGGTGTGTTGGATGACGCGGCCTGCCTTATGTCTCTTGGCCTGTAGGAAGGAGGACAACATTGGGGTTCATTGTGGTCTTGCTCTATAAACACAGGAATGGGAAAGGGAAGGAATCATAGGCTGCTTTGAAGCTTGGGGCGTGGCATCATGGCCCGTGAGTGTGGAAGAGTCTGGGCAGAAGAATTGGGAGGCAGCCGCGCGCTTGCTTCGGCTGAAGACGAGAGGTGTGAGGTTCTTGGCGACTTGCCATGATCCGTGGGTTGCCTCTCCCTCTCTGGAGGCCCGCGTATTTGGGAATCGAGGTAGGTGGGAGGAGCAATTCTGGGGAGTGAAGTGAAGTGAAAGTAAACAAAAGGCCAGAATCAAGCATAAAGTCGGCTTCGGCACGCCACGACTAACGCGCTACAGAGCTCCTCCCCCCTGTTCCTGAAGACAATTGGGCTACAGAAGGAAGTGGAGAAGCCAATGAATAGAGCTCGTCATCTGAGACCTATTTAAAGTCCACTCTGTGAGAGCGGCAGAAGGCAGTAGTCTCTTGGTGCTTCAGACTTGAGAGCATGACGCTGGAATAGCTCCAGACATGAGACCTTAGAGGCCTGCCTCTCTCGTTCTCACCACTGTAACAAAAACAGAGACAGAAAGAGCTACCAAGCTTCCTGTTGGTTCCCGTTACTTGCTTCTCGAGCTCACGGAGAACAGAGGGTGGAGGCATCGTGTCGCGGGTTCTGGACATGTCGTCCATTCATATGGCATGAGGGTTTCCCTGGAACCACTCTTTTTTCTGCCCATTGGATTCTTTGGCTCCCCCAGCAAAAGCAGGTTCGACCTATCAGAGTCTCGAGAGGAACACCAAAACAGAAGTATTGGCGGGGAACGGAGGCCGTGGCCTGCGGCAAGGACCGATGCGTTCCGTTCGTGGCATCGCCTCATGGGGCCAGAACTCTGAACTCAGACCCCTCCTCTCTGCTTTTCTCTGTCTGGTTCCTGTTTCTAGTCCAGGGTTCTTGGGCTAGGAGCCTGGGAAGCTTAAGAGGGCTGGAACACGATGGTACGCCACTGGCGTGATGGTCCCCGGTATATGCTGGCGGTCTGGCGTAACGATGTCGTCGTAGATGTAGCAAAGCCGTGTTTGTATTGGCTACTACGTACTCCATTGTGGTTGTCGTGGGTGAAGTGAGGTGTGTTTTGAGTTGAGGTGACGATCTTCTTTGTGGTTGCACAGAGCACCAAAGGCACCACACAGGCACCATAGGCACAACTCTCAGGGGATTTTTCGGAGGGGTCCCAGTCGAGGGGGAGCCAAGGCGGGGCGGGGCGGGGTTCGGATTCATCATAGGAGCGGTCAAAGGTTTGGAGGGGTAGAAAAGCAAGGTAGAGGGCAAGACTGGAGGTGAAGCAGACAGAGGAACGAGTGATTGAGACAATTGGCGACAGGCACCTTGACAGCCTTGGCCGGGACCTTGATGAGACGATCAAGGTTGACGCTATTGGCACCTTGAGGGTTTGGGCAGTTGTATAAAGAGACGGTTGTCGTCCAGCCTGCAGGACTGAGGAGTATGTTTGCTGCGAAGACAAGATGATCCTTCAGCAATTCCTCCAGGCCACGAATAGTTCCAGAAAAGATCAAGAGCGGCAACAGTACATTCAACATCACCACGGTGGAACAGTGGAACAGAATTCGGCGCCTCAAAAGATGTATTGCTCAAGTGAGTGACTAAACATGCCAATAGGTCCATCGATTAGAAGGAACACTATCCGCCGATGCAAACTACCCATCAACCAAGTCGTAACCCATATCCCGAATTCAAAAACTCATATCGTCGTCGTATCGAGAGGAAGCGAAACCGCAGTAAAGCAGCAACGTATCACAGGTCGTCGTCAAGGGAAGAGGCGTTTATTTGCAGGAGGAGCAAGAGCAGCCAGAGCCGCAGTTGCCTGAGACAGGTTAGCGTCTTGGTCTCCAATGACTGACCGCCGACAACACCGTTACGGTCGCGGTGCGGTGGCAGGGGGGAGAGTAAGGTACATACAGGTAGAAGCGCCGGAGCAGCCGCAGTCACCCTTCATTTTGATGGTTGTTGGTTGGTTTTGGGGGGTTTAAAAAAGGTGTTGTTGTAGTTGACGTGATGGACTTGAATGTTGACGTTGTGGAGATCAGTCCAGAGGCAGATGAAAAGAGGTAAGAAGCCGCGCACTTATATATCCAGAGCCTCCTCCTAGCAGCTCGGATAGTCACCCAGAGGGAGGGGACACTGAGAGTAGCAGGAGGAGGGGTCAGATGTCAGATGAGGGTGGCCAGATGGGACCGGATCGGGGGGCCGTCATTGGGCGGGTGCGCCGTTTGTGCGGAAACGCAGTCCAAGTCAAGCCAGCGTCGTGGTTCGGGACTGGCGACCTGTTGGCGAGGGGTGCCTCGGTGGGGTTTGCGCTCTTTGTGCGTTGACGGTAGCCAGTCGTCCTCCTTTTCTTTCGGGGCTGGAACTTGGCCCGGCATGGATGTCCATGGAATGGCCCATGGGGGGTTGAGTTGGTTTGGGGGAGGTCTTTTTGCCCATTTTTGCGCCGCGCGAATCGCCTCGGCCGCCCAAACCAATCCTGGCTGACGGGCAAGACAGGGTCAAAGACCACTGTGATGCTTCCCAATTGTCAACCTTTTCTTATCTCAACGCATCGTTGCCGGATAAGGTTCAGGTGGGTTGCGTCTTTTGTGCGGGAGGCGCTAGGATTCGGCCATTTGTTCCTCAATGCATCGTTTGCAGCTGACCCTGGCAAGACGATGAGATGAGATTCGTATCTCTTGAGATGTTGCCGAAGCAGGTAGGCATCCCGTGGCATCCAGTCGCAAGTTCCAGAAGTTGCACTGGGGGATTGTGGTACTGCGAGACAGACGGATTTCGAGAGACTGGCAGAGATAACGGTATGACGACGATAGCAAACGGTCCTCATTCAGGCAGGACCCTGAATCTTTGCCCTGGCGGCTGACGTCGGACGCACTCGTGGCGAGGAGGGGTATCCCATCCTCTGCCTGCCCGTAAACCGCTGTAAGCTGCCCCAAGCGCAGCGCCAACGCTGATGGAGGGGCACTATCCGTAGCACTATGATGGAAGGGCGAGTGAGGGGTACCCGTGGCCGTGACGTCTGCCCTGTCACTCTGCGCCTGCGGTGTGTGTGTGGCTGTCTCGAGTTGCGGCCTTTGTGCGTGAATCTTCACCACTCGCTCTGCGATGTACCGATGTAGCTGAGATCCTTGGCCCTCGAGGCATTTGTGCCGTTATCAATTTCATGTCCGAGATGCGCGCATGATCGGGCAATTCTGCGATTGATCGTCGCCTGCCTGGACGGTATGACGGAGCCACCTATCGACGGTCTCAGGTCTCTCTCTTGTGCGTTCTTCGGTTGTTCTTCTCCATCACTCAGCCGTTCTTCATCACCGCTTCTTCAGCAAGTTAGCGACCAGCCAGGAGGAGACAAACCCCACCACTCAGACGGCGAACCCCACGGCTCTAACAACCCTGGGTGCATTGACCCTCCTGCGTGTGTACACCTACTGCGTAGTAGAGTTGCTGCTGCAGTGCTGGACCTGCCCTGTTCCCGTCCCAACCACCTTTTCCTGTTGACTGGTGCCGCCAACCGCGTCGGAGTGTTTTCTTAGTCACGATGCTAGCGATTTCGAGGCTTTGAGCGGCGCCGTTCTCTTTTGGTGGCAGGTGCGAAAGCTGCTAGGCCATGCGTCCGACGACGGATGATGTCGGTAGGAGGCGAACTTTCCTGACCGCTCTAGTCAGGCCCGATGAAGACTGACGAGATGAGAACTTTCCAACAAATGGAGCGTAGCGTATGCGTACACGCTTCCGACTGTATTGCGCCGTAACCCGCCATCATTGAAGGCCGTGTGGGAGTCTACATCAGAGACGCTGCAGCAAGACGTTGATGACCGCTTCGGGCAACGATCGGCTGATGTCGGAACGGATGACATCGACGCACGTGCACCGGAAGCTCGGAACTTTTCGGAAAATCCGGTCACGTGGTCCATCGGCGTTAAGGGGCTTTGGGAAAGTCGAGAATCTCCACCACGATTGAATGTCTACCTTAGACGTGATGGCATCAAGTTATCACAAAATCTGTCAGAGGACCAGAACAATCCCAATAGGCGACGACGGGCCGCTCGGCCAAACCATCCCGCAAAAATGTAAGTAGGTCGCATGGGATTGTCACGCAAGTCCGCCAAACGATGCTGGGGCTACGTTGCTTCTCAACATCAGACACCACGCAGAGCAGCTGCGACACGACGTGTGAGTGGCATCTATTCTGCAGCAAGTGGAGCGCCAACGTTCATCAGACACAAGAGGCGATTGGGATATCTCAATGAATCAGAATGCATCATTCGTGCTATCAGAATGCTTCTTGCACAAGTGATTAGCCTGACCTTTGTCTACTGAAGTTAATGCCATAAACCCACACCCAATGTTTCTGTCCAGAGACCTCCGGATCATCATCCCGAATCAACGATTGCACGCTCTTGCTGGCCTTGCATTGACAGTCGAGCAGGAATATCAATCCCTTCTCTCCAAATTTCTCTCCAATTCGACGCCCAGAAAGCCTGACGCATCGCAGGAAAGAAGACAACCATTAGTCGGAAGTCAGTTCCGGCTCCATACTTCCCGGCCTCTTGAACGACTTCATGCCAGTCAATGTTGCCTCCAACGTGGACACTGACGGCCACGGTTCCGAAGCGAAGCTGTTCCACCTGACGTGCCCGGCAGAGAGAGAGGACAAGAGATTTCACACCTTCAAAGTAAGGTGCGCCTGTCATGTCCTCTCCGGTGTCTGTGGTATCTAAGAGAAGCAACTTCGCTTGCCGGGGCACCCAGTATCTGAGCAACGCAGCGCGTTCATCCAGCCCCTCAAGGAGCGAGTAGTACATCGCAATTCTGCTGCGGAATACTTCCAGGCCGGACAGGTTCCACGTGCTGCTTATCAGAGAGTGAATCTCTAGAGTAGGGTTCTGGCCAAAGAACTTGTTTATCCCCTGCTCAGGAAACCTTAGGCTCAAATGCTCGATGCAGGGACAACATTCCGTAATCGTGTGACCCAACTGGTCTCTTATTACTAAGCCGCCATTGGAACTCAGAGAATCGAATTCGACAAAGAGATGCGTGAGCTTCGGGAATCGACTCAGGGCCCTGCTGAGAGTAGTGGCATTCATGCCCGTGGGCCGAAGGATGAGTTGCGTCATGGAAAGAGATGTTCCACTACTGAGAGGGCCGGTTAGACCCCAATGGCCAAAATCGTACGAGGAAACAACTGCCTCAAGAGTCGGATGGGCGACGAAGCATTCCAAGACTTTGAACCCTGCGCCAAAAGAATAAAAATTCTCGAAGTGTGTCGAGCTAGGGAGCAAGACAAGCCACTTGAGTTCTGGGCAGACTCTCCGCTTCATGCCTTCGACGGAGTACGTTGAAATGGCGACGAACAGCATTGTCCGCAATCCTATTGTTTGTAATCTATGGGAAGCGGGATTGTTGTCTTGCACCTGAGAAATTGCGAGGGAGTAAATCCTGGGAACAAAACAGAGCAACAGACCAATCAGTAACCCCATAATGGTTGAAAGGTTTAATCGACTCATCGCCGCGTGCTGTCTGCATAATAGCAGGATATGTCCCTCAGCATCCGAGAGCTTGCTTTCGTCGAGTATAGACTTATGCCACTTGTCAAAAATCTCAGGCGTTTTCATCTTGCTTGGGTCGTAGTAAGCGTCCGGGCCTGATGAAATATCGACCTCGCGGATCAAGCGACGCAGATGTGGGGTTTCAACCAACGTTCGGATGAGAAGTACTAGTTGATTGTAATGAGTATGCGGGAGCTTGATGGTGTGATATAAACCCTGTTGAGCTAACGGGAGTGTTCTCTGGTTTACGAGACAGAGAGGGTAGGCGTCTGCGCAGTGGTGGGAAATCATTGTAATAAGCTCGTTCGGCAGTGACGAGAAAGTAGCGCCCGCCATGGCTTTGGTGTCTAGTGGCCATGTATCCGTTGTAGATGTGCTTCTTGTTGTCGGACCGCTAAGACGTCGGGGCGGAGAAGTTCGAGTTTGATGATGGGATGATCGACTGTTGACAAGCGTCTTTTCGAAAGGCCATCAATCGATGAGAGGGTCTAGAAAAGACTGCAGTGGTCGTGTTTTGTATTTGGATGCTGGTAGATGGGTGTTCTGTCGAGTGGGAGGTTTCGTCGGGGAGCGCAGAAGTGATAGAAGTGATGAAGATGGGCAGAGTGGACAAGACTGGGCTCGGCCAAGGAGGTAGTCGGTATGAGGTAGAGTGAAGCAAGCAAGAGAATATGAGATGCCTCTTTCCACCTGCGATGACCCTTTGCTTCTCGCTGCATGCCTGCCTTCTTCATCATCTGTATGGTGCCAGTAAAATGCGGAAGGAGGAACACATCGTGACCGCTTAACAGGCTGGAGAAGACTTAGTCGGGTGGAAAGAACATCATTCTTCGCTCTGACCCTCTCACTTGATGACTAGCAAGAAGCATCTGTTGAATCCTAGAGTGGGAAGTCGTGGCCTGGAGGGAGGCAGCTGGACGATTCCCTTGGAGCCCCAGCGGAATTTGACCAACACAAGGCGTGACTTCGTTCCAATCGACATGGCTCGAACAATATAGCCATGCGACAACACCTGAGATACACTGCGTATGATGATAACATGTGGCGACATCGCAGGTGTCCCCGTAGCGTCCCGGAGGATTTCGCCATCTCCACCATGGAGTTCCAAGTCCGCTCCGGGCCATCGCCGGACGCATGCCGGAAAGGGAAGTGGTGGGCCGCCAGCCGACGCCCTGACTGGATGGAGTTGCAACTCCATTGTGGAGAGTCGGCGGCACTGACCCGGAGCGGGATTCCTGTGGTCTCGAAGAAGGCCTTTTGTCGTCTGAACGAGCCTCGATTGTGTGTTATGACTGGACTTTGTGAGCTTTGGATGCGATTCATATAAGAAAGAGGCAGAATGCTGCGGGAAACATACTCTCGGGAGGAATCCATCATTGTCTTCTAAGGCACCTCTCAACTCTCTTCTCCATCGTCAGAATCCATATCACGATCGTCTCGGTCTCAGGCAACTACCTTCAGCCATGGCACCTTCAAGCACTCAAGACCTGTTCGATGCTGAACATCCCACCTCCAAAAGCATCGAAAAAATCGCTTCTGTCCATCAGTACACCGCTCCGGACTTTGAACTCTTCCGCCACCTGGTGCCCCTAGTCTCCAGCGGCAAGACAACACACCTCAACGCAGCCTTCATGCCCCCCTCAAATCTCATTGTCAACGAAGCTCTCTCCCGCTTCTGCTCGGAAGCCCTGCATCGACCCTCTCCAAAATCTCGCTGGAAAGAAGATGCCGAGGCAGTTAGGGAACTACTGGGCAGGTACATCAACACAGACCCATCGACAATCGCCTTTGTCAGGGACACCACCGAAGGCCTGGGAAGCTTCATCCGCGGCCTCAAGTTCCAACCAGGCGACAACGTCGTGATTCTCGACTGTGAACATCCGAACCAAGCGTTCGCCTGGCTGACACTGCGTTCGGCTGGGCTGGAGGTCAGACTCGTCTCCACAGACCCGGAGAACCCAGTTGCAGCGGACGCGAAGACCTTTGCGCCGTACGTCGATGAAAGGACCAGGGCTATCGGGCTGAGCTCCATCATGTTCCACACGGGACAACGCAACGATGTCGCGGATGTCTGCGGGGCGTTCCGGCACCGGGGAATTCACGTTCTCGCGGACCTTACGCAACAAGTTGGGTTTGCTGCTGTCGATGTGGAAGAATTGGGTGTCTCGGCGGCGGCGTTCAGCCTGCACAAGGGCCTCAACTCGCCAACTGGCTTCGCGGCGCTGTACGTCGACACACAAGTCATCCACGAGATGGATCCAGTGCCACCCATTGTAGGCTACGGAGGCGTGAGCAGTGTTGGCGACTCGGAGGACTTTGCGGTCCCGGAAGGCCCCGTCGTCTTCCACCCTACCGCGAAGAGATACGAGCACGCCAACATGAGCTTCATCTCAGCCGTGGCCGCAAGGGCATTTCTCCAGTTTTATCTCGAAGTGATGGGCCCCAGAAATCTCGAGCAGCGTCTGTATAGTCTCGGAGACGCGCTGCGTCAATCTTGCGCTGAATTGGGTGTTGGCGTCGTTGGGCCAAGCGAGAGGAAACACCACGCACCACATCTTCATGTTCTTCGTTTGCAGAACCCGAGGTGGTCTGAACGCTTGGAGGCAGCGGGTATTGTAGCGACAAAGTTTAGGATCGGCATCAGAGTCTCCTTTGGCTTCTATAGCAATCTGGAAGATGTCGAGAGATTGATGGCGGTGATTCGGGCAGGGCTTGAAAGCGGCATTCCACCGTGTTAGTGATGCGCGGCCAAAGGGGATGATGAAAGAGACAAACCGACAGCCTTGATTCTCGATTGACAATATTCTAATGAAATAAATATGCAGACAGTCATCCATGATGATCTTTGATGACTTCTTTCCTGTTGAATGTCGCAATCCTTAAAGTATTGACCTCCAGAGCCAGAAAGGCGATAGCGGCCTGGAGGAAAATGTTCTAGCGCAAGTGCCCTGAAAATTACAGTGAGAAGCCTCCCGCATCGGCGACATCCCATCGTCCCCTCAACTTCCCACCTCCATCAACCTCAACCTTCTCAAGCCCCCGTTGTCTCCGCCTGAACAATGCCTCCACACGATCAGGAAACATCTCTTAAGCCCACCAAGAGGATATCGTAAGCTGTAGTCTGCCTCACCGTAGAACACATGTTTCTAAACAAGCGAACAGGTGCAAGAGATGCCAGTACAGAAAAGTCAGTAACTTACAATCCTCTGCTCAACTCTTCGCTGAGACATCTCGCCAGTTCAAATGCTCCCGCACCGAGCCATGCCAAAACTGCAGCACGTCTAATACGCCTTGCGAATACCGCCCTGTAGATCGTAAACGCGTCCCGGCCTCTCACGAGTACGTCGCGAGCCTCGAGTCCCGCATCTCATGGCTCGAGACGTTTGTTCAATCTCTCCGTGTCGCCACGCCAGAGCAGCGGGAGGAGATGCTCAACTCTACGGCAGCTGCAGAGGGAAAGGACCATTCTCTTCCTAGTAGTTCTTACAAAGCTCAAAAAGAGATCCGGACGGATGAAGGAGCACCACTGGCACCAGGCAACTACATATCCCACCTCGGCATCCACGCCCGCTCAAGCGCAAACCTCGAGTTAGGCCTCGAAGGCTCCCTCATCTACCATGGCGCAACCTCCATCTTCCGCGTCGACCTCCCTTCCATCTCCAAAGACCCAAGGGATCCTGAAAACACTACCGCCGCTCTCCTCCGAGGAGGCGGCATCGAAGCAAACTTTGAATCTGTAATGCAACACTTTGGCATCGACGGCCCATCCTCTCCCGCCGTTCTGCAGTCCCTAACCCAGTTCTTCCGCTGGCAATATCCGCACTTCATGTTCATCTACCGCGAGGCCTTTCTCCGTGACCATTTCAGCAATGACGACGGTGAGGGTGATGCCAACAATGGTAGGAATAACAGAAAATACTGGTCCCCCGCCCTGCTCCTATCTATATGCGCCCTCGGCGCGCTAGTCAGCTTAGATACAAAAGCCTCGAGTGAGCGATTTTTCCTCGCGGCGGAGAGCATCATCATGGTGACCGGGCTCACGAGGCCAAGCGTCGCTACCGTCCAGGCGTTCCTATGTCTTGCGCTTTACGAGATTGGGAGGGGTAATTTGTCCAAGGGTTGGGGTTACTCTGGTGAGTACGCTACCCAGCGAGAGTCTCTCGAAATGCTTCGCTCGTGACAAGAGACTGACTAGACGTCTCACCAAGGAATCGCCTTCCGCATGGCCCAAGATCTCGGCCTCCAACGAGACCCCAAAGGCTGGGTCCAACATGACTCATCCCTCGCAACACACGAAGACGTCGAGATACGGAGGAGAATCTACTGGGGCTGCTACATCTCCGACAAGCTCATCAGTCTGATCCTCGGCCGGCCCGTGTACTTAGTCTACGATGACGCCGAGGTCCAGCCTATGGAAACGCTGCCGTTTGTGACGCCCTCTCCTTCACCCTCGTCTCCGCCTCCCGTCCTCGTACAAAAGATGTAGTCTGTTAATGTCGATCCCAGAGAACCCCCCGAAATGAGTCTCTGGCGCCCCGTAGGCTTCGACGAAGAATACAGAGAATCCGCGCAAGCGAGCTCCATGATCCCGTACCTCCACGAACAGATCCGCCTGTCGCGCATCATCGAGAGAATGATGTCGACGCTCTTCTCTCCGCGCTCCAACCTAGACGACCTCGGTCGACGAGTCTGCTTCGATAATCTAAACCTAGACCTCAACCGGTGGCGCGAATCGCTGCCTGATTTTGCAAAATGGCAAAAATGGGGTGGATCGTCATCGAAGACAATACCAGGAGTATTGGCGTTGCAGTACGTCGGTCTTCCATGATGTGTGACCCTGTTCACTTCTAAAGAGATGAATTAGCCTCCAATTCCACAGTGTTCGCATCGCCTTGAACTATGATCAGGCCATTGCATCCCGGGGAAGCGACGCGGACGAAAAGCCGCAGTCTTACTGCGTCACATCCGCGCAGCACATCATTTCCCTGGTACGCACCTATCGAAGTCAGTATGGGCTTCAACATGCACCACTCGTGTTTGTATACGGCGCTGTCCAAGCGAGCCGCTCAGCCAAGGCATTTAACATCACAGAGGAGAGCCAGTATCTGACCCAGATGCTGGGAGAACTATCATCGGCTTGGAGCCTGTCAAGAGAAGTCATGGCCAAAGTATTGGACTGCTAAAGCTAAATACCCGCGAGAGTACACAAATCGGGCCCCATTCCCCATCCCGGCCTCCAGACTTGTTTATCCAGCTTTCACAGCAGTCACCATAGCCATCTGTGTTCTCCTTTTGGACCTCCACCCTTATTGATGCCAGCTTCCTTTGCACAGAGTGTCGTCATGATACCCCCTGCCAAACCATAGCTGCCATGTCTTCATCGGTGTGGTCTTGATACAATTCAAACGTTCATCTGGTCGAAAGACTTGGCCCACAAGGTCTTGGCGTCGGCGGCGGTGTAGACCCGGAGCTTGGCATCGGTGTCGGCCATGGTGTCATTGGCGACTCTGGTCCACTGCTTCGGCTTGCTGTACTTGCAGCCGATGGCGATGGTATCGAGGCGAGGAAGAGGAATCTCCTCCGCGCGAGTCTCGCAGAGATCTTCGATGATTCTCTTCACGTGCTCCTTGTGCGCAAGAACCGCGGGGGTCTTGGACGTGACTTTACCCGGGAACTTCACGGACGAAGCATCCAGGAAGAGCTTCTCCAGTCTGTCAGGAAGCTTCTCGGCAAGGTCGAGGTCGCCGAGGTCCTGGGCCTCGCGAACGAAAGCATCGATCTCAATGCGAAGCTCTCTAAGGTTGTCCATCTTGGGAAGGCAGGTCAGGGTAAGACGGGGACCGAAGAAGTCTTCCTTGTTTCCGAAGAAGCGGATTGACAGGACTCGAAGCTCGGGGCAATACTTGGGCAAGACTCTGTTGATGTTCTGTCCAATCAAGTAGTTGTCTTTGTCTGGGATCGTCTCGACTTCGAGATGCTCAACCTTGGGGCAACGGCGGAGTAGAACGCAAAGGCTCGAGGCGGTCCAGTCGCTACCACGCAACAAGAGCTTCTTGAAGGGGAACTTGACGTCAGAACCACAGTGCATGAGAACGCTGGTCAGCTCGCCCTCGGGTCCCTTGAAACCGAAATCGACGAGCAGAGGCGAAGAAGCCGCAAGGGCCAAGGTGGGCTGAAAGACCTTGCCGAAGAAGGTCTGGCTGGATCTCTGGAGCCAGGTCTTGCTGATCAAGTCCAAGCTCGCCAGGGAAGGGAACAGAGGCGAGTAGTCGAGGTTGTTGGACGAATTGGGCGCAAGAATGCATAGACCAGCAGTCAGAAAGCGGTCGGCAATGGAGAGGTAGTTGTCGGCGCGGATCGTGAGGTGGTGAGTGTTCTCCAAAAGGAACATGAAGAGACCCAGAATACACTGGAGGTTCTCGGGGGCCTTGGTGCCGCAGGTAGCCTTGCAGAGGACAAGAAGCTGGCGATCACGCGCCGAAAGCTTGGAGTCATCAAGCTGAGTGAACGAGAACTGGCGGTAAAAGGAAGCCGCCGGATTCTTGCCGGTGAAGTTGTTCGTGTCGATGTTGATGAGCACGTCATGGATGAGCTTTCGGGTAGAAGGCTGCTCGATGAGGGTTCTGACAATGCATGCAAGCTGGTGGGGAGTCTGGATGGGGGTAATAAAGTACAACTCGCGACGCGCAATGTCGTGGATGCGCTTGCTCACGAGGCAGAGGTTGCGAAGGTTCTCGCGGCCTCCGCCCGCGTGATCATGGCAGAGCGTAGTGATCATGCCGAGGACCTCGTTGGGCATGGTATCGAGGTTGTGACGGTTCATCTTGATCTTGATGAATTTGCGCTGTACAATGACAGAGCGAGGAGCATCAGGAGCCGACTCGTTTTCGGCGAGCTTCTGGGCGACAGCGGCTTTGATCTTGGCCACTAGATCGTCATAGATGATCGAGTTCGCGGTGTCAGCCATGGTGTCTTGGAGGCTTGGCTGCCGCGTGATGCGATGGAGGATTGAGGAAAAGAGAGTAGAGGAGGTTGTTGATGATGGGGGAAGAGTGAAAGGCGTTTGAGGTGCGCCGAAGATGGAATGATGAAATTCTAGAGTGACGAAGAGGCAAGGAGGAAACGCCAGGTGAAGTTTGAGAGAAAGGGCGAGGTGCCTTGGGGGTCCTTCTCTGCTTTGCTTCCGTTCCGGGCCGAGTCTGCCTCCTTCTTCATCGCGATGCCTCGAAAACAAGAGGAAACAACGCCCTTTGGGCCACTCAGAGGTCGTTGACCACGTGATGGGCGGTCAAACTAAATGGAAAGAGTCTTTCAAGAGGCTGCCTATCGAGGACGGGGGCTTCAGTGACTCTCTTCCCGTGCCCGGGTTGGGGGGTTGAGGTGAGTTGTGGTAACTAAGTGTTGACGGGACGGGGCACTTGAACGGGAGGCGGGGACACAGTCTTGAAGTATTGGAGGGACCCGGCAAAAGAATGACAAGGAAGCAATCCTCGAATCAAGAAGGCAGGGCATTGCTTTGTTGAAATGGAGCAGGCTATGTTGGATTTGGTCGACATACTTGCAGCCTGAGTTGCTGCAAAGTCTTTGATATCAAAGACTGGCTAGGTTGTGGAGAGTTGAAGAGACTCAGAAAGGCTTCTTCTATTCGTCTGAAAGTAAGTCAATATTGAACTGAGAAACGGACGATTTGCTGATTGAACACAGTTCTGCTGAAGAGCAACTTCTTCTCCACGAAAGCAGAGAGTTGAACTATCCTCCGACTACTTGACCTCATCGCAAGATATCAACCAGACAAACATCGAAACACGTCGGCCATAACTTCACCCGCAAACGTAAAGTCCCTCTCTACCTTCTCGTTCAGGCCCCAAGCCTCCTGGCTGCCATCCAGCACCGTCGCCCTCCTCATATCCCTCCTATGGCCTCCGACCACTGGCGTCCCTCGATGGAGAGTACAAGTGTTATCCCACATGACTAGATCGCCCACTTGCTTCCACGGAACCGAAACCACAAACTTGTCCTGCGTGGCGTGGCGGTAAAGGTACTCCAGCTTCTCCCTCCCTTCATCACCATCGAGACCTTCAATGTGGTGACAGTGCGACGGCACAAACAGGTTCATCCTTCCGCTGGCCTCATGGAGCTGGGCGATCTTGTGTTTAGACATTGGATGCTTCGCCGGCTCGAGCTTCGTAAAGAAGTCTGGACACGCCTTTTTGCGGGAATACCAGAACGAATGGCCGGCGACATAATCCTTGGAAATGAGTTCCTGCTTCAACTCCTCGGGGAGCCCATCCCACGCCGCCCGCGTATCGGCGAAGTCGGTATTGCCACCCGCCTCCAAGGGGGGAACCTCGTGGGCCAAGAGGACTGAGTAGCTTGCTCTCTGGGCGTTGAAGCTGCTGTCGACATGGAAGAGCGTGTTTCCCTGCCCAAACGTCAGAGACGGTGCTCCCTCCCGAGTCCCCGCTTAGTTTGACACAAGTTGGGAAAGACATACCTTGCTGATCTGAGCACGCGGATCTTGAGAACTGATGACGTTGCCGTTGGCGTCGACGTTACCCTGGTCCGTCAACTCGGGCAGACTCATCCGCGAAGGCCCGCCGGTGTCTTTGCGGCGTTCGAGTTCGCCGAAGAGGCTGGCGAAGGCGACGTGGCGTTTGTCGTCTAGGCCTGTTGCTGGGAATACTAGGACTCCATACTACACCTCGAATGATTAGCAACAAGTCTGAATGATCATGGAAAAGTTGCTAATGCAGACCTTTGTGATGGCAGCTTGGATTTCTTGGAAGACGTCTTCTGTCAGCGGCTTGGAGAAGTTTACCCCGCGGATCTCTGCTGCGAAGGTGGGATGGAGGGGTTCGATGGTGAGTGGCATGTTGCCCAAATTTCTCTACGTTTCTCTGCTAACACAGCGATAGGTAGTAGCTCCCAAGCAATTCTAGTCTCAGTATTCGAGATAGTAGGGACAAAGTTCAAGCCAGACAACCGAACTTCATGTCTTGGCAGTGGGAAGTCGTACTTAGCCCATCTCGAAAGCACCGCTTCTGAATTCGTCGACTTCTATGGTCTTTCTTCAATTCCTACTCGTCAATACGGATGGTCGATTCAGTTTCAAACCCATTCATCTCACCGCCCCACGAGCTCTTCATTTAAATTGACCTTATCTGTAGGTTATCTCTCCCTTCACGAGTCAGACCCTGCCATCCCATATCATTAACAACGGCTATCACCAGTATAAGCTTTCCGTCGACAGGGCATGTCCCTGTCCGAACGATGTCGTTTGCACTCCAATGGAATTTGGGACGACCGAGGTTCATCCCTTGTGTTCGTCTCTTGGGGCTTTCCGCAGCAGCCCGCCAACATCATCACCGATCTAGTAACCTCAACTCTAACCACCATTTTTGCACGTTTCAGGTCGAGCCTTGATCTGCCTCTCACCTTCAGCATTAATACTCAGCCAGGGACTCATACCCAGACTCCAGCCATGCCGTCTCTCCGGCCTCTGCTCAACCCGATCCTGGGCCCCGAGCCCCGCCAACCGGACCGGATCCCCACAGACACCGTGGTGCAGCTCTCCGCCATGGACAGCTCCTGGATGATGCGCATGATGATCATGAGCTGGAGCATGTGCTTCCGCGACGTTCTTGACCCTGCCATGCTCCACGCCTCGCTCTCAGAGCTTCTCACCATCGGCAACTGGAAGAAGCTGGGCGGAAGGCCGCGACTAACGGTAAGTTCTCGTCCTTGCGATGCTCCAAAGCTCCTACTCAGCCTCCATCTGTAAGAGACACTTGAGAAGTATCTATAACTAACAATCATATCAGAAAGACGGCAGAATCGAACTTCACATCCCTCAGTCCTTCACGCCCTCCCGCCCAGCGGTCCACTTCACAACAGAACCAAATCCATCCAGTGTCACCGGCCACCCTCTATCCTCAACCATCCCCTCCCTCTTCCTCCCTCACAAAACGAACAACTCTTCCCCAAACCTCCCCATCATCCTCGACACCCCCTCAACCCTCACCCCTCTCCTCGCCGGCCCTGAAGCACCAACAACGTTCAAAGACTACACAACCACAGACCGCCCCCTCCTAACCCTCCACATCGTAACCTTCACCGACGCAACCTTCGTCACAATAACCTACCCGCACAGCATCACAGACGGCATGGGCCGCCGCGAACTCGTCGAGAACTGGTGCCGCGTCCTAGCCGGCAGACAAGACCTCGTCACGCCCCTAGCAGACCCGTCCTCTGACCCAATGGCAAAAGTCGCCTCCGCAAAGAAGCAGCGCTACGACGAGCCGTTCTTATGGGAACACAAGAGGTTAACCGGCTGGGGTAAAGTGCGGTTCACGCTCGGCTTGCTGTGGTACCTCCTCACGAACCGCATCCGCCAGCGAAACATCTTCATCCCAGCCGCGGCACTCCTCCGCCTCCGCGAGCGCGCCGAAGCCGATATAGCGACAGCCGTAGGTGAAGAACCGACGACAACAGGCCGCCTCAGCGACGGCGACATCCTGACAGCATACCTCGTCCGCCTAGCCTGCTCCCGCATCCCTTCCTCCCAACCCACGAAACCAATCTCCATCTCCACGGCCCTCGACCTCCGCGGCCGGCTGCACTCAGACGACCTGCCCCCCGGCGAAGCACACGTCTCGAATCTGGTAGCATACAACTGGACCAATACCGCAGCCCTTGGTCTCCTCCACGTCCCCTTGGGCAAAGCCGTCGCGCTGATCCGTAACTCGGTGCGGTCTCAGCTCACGGATGCGCAGGTATACGCCTCGACTCGACTTACATATACCGCCGTCGCGGAGAGCGGGAGCACGAACCAGTTTACGGAGGCGAATGGGTTCGTGGTGTCTGTTTCGAATGTGGGGAAGGCGAGGTTTCACGAGGTGATTGATTTTAGTCCTGCGATTGTCAAGGCTGAAGAGGGGCCGGGAGATGAAGGGAAAGGGGAGGAGGGGGAGAGGAAGACGCCGAGGGGGAAGATTGTATGGCAGTGTAATACCCCGCGAATGAGTCTTCTTCCGCCGTGTCTGATTTATATCCAGGGGAAAGATCACGAGGGAAATTATTTGGTGCAGATGGTGGTTTCGGAGAGGACGTGGCGGGTGATTGAGGATGAGATTAAGAAGATGTAGATTCTACATGTTTGGTTTACAGGCCAAATGTCACATGTACGAGCTGGTAAAATGATTTTCAAGGTGCAGATCGGGCATTGAAATCGGAAGCCACTCGATCTCTGAGCCAAAAAGCAGCATATTACTTTGCTGATATCTCTACGGAGTATCATCCAACCACAAATACACCAAAACGCCACGCTACATTTAAGTTTGGCCAAAAACAAACCCCTAATACAAAACACGAGGCACCCAAAACGGCGCCTTCTCAAGCTCAACCTCGATCCGGTTCTTGGCATTCAACTCGGCCCCCTCGTCAGAACACCCGACAACCTTGCTACAGTGCTCCACCTCCTGCTTGCTCACCCCCGCCGCGTCGCGCGGGATCCAAATCACCGGCGTCGGCGACGCCATCTCGGGCGGCCAGTACGCCCGACGGGCGTAATCCGCGGGGTACGTCTCGGTCGGATCGGGCAGGTCGACGGGGATGGTGCGCCGGAGGGTGGAGAAGTCGTCAAAGACGCCCGGGTGGAGCCAGCGGAGGACAAAGTTGGGGTCCGGGTCCGGGGCGGGGTCGATCCAGTGCATTATGTAGCCTATGGGACCCGCGAGACCGTACTGTTCGGCCGTGGCTTGCATTTTCTTGGCGACGGCGCCGGCGGACCAGTCTTGGACGGAGGCCATGAGGCCTGATGCGCCTTCGATGCCTCGGGTGCCGTTGACTTCGTGTGTCGGGCCTTCGTTCTCCTCGCCTGGGTCGAAAAAGTCTGGGTACGCGGCGGTGATGTCGGCGTCGGTGAGGAAGTCGTCTTGCGGGTAGTCTGGGGCGACGAAGCCGCCGTCGAGCTCTTCCATCTCGAGCGCGAGGGCGCGGGGGATGTTGTAGAGTAAGGGGAAGATTGCTTCCCGGAGGGAGATGTGGACGAGGGCCGTGAAGATGAGGAAGCCGATCATGAGGACCATGGGGATATAGGCTGCGCGGAGGGCGAAGAGGCCGACGAGGCAGATTGTGGCGAGGTAGAGGCCGACAAGGAGGTGCATCAGAGCGCGGGGGTATACGAGGCCGCGGGTGTCGATGGAGGCGTCGCTGACGTAGAGGAGGTTGTATTTGTAGACTAGGTAGATGCAGTAGAGGCCGGCGGCGGCGAAGCCGAGAACGACGGGCGCGATGCAGGAGTAGCTGATGGCTAGGAAGGTCAGTATCGAAGAATGGTAGGCGAAGAGTACAGCGATGCTTACCGATGACGCCCATGTTTGTGAAGACGGGGAAGACGGCACCCCAGTGCACGGGTCGCTCCCTGTGCCAGATCCTGAATAGTCCACGAGGGTTATCAAAGCCCTTTGCCATGACGTGATGGCGGAAGATGTCGAATGCTCGCAGCAGAGACGCAGCACCGACAGCTAGGCACTGGATGAGGATGTATGATATGTAAAAGTTGGAGGACTTGGGCAAGTTGTCGGCCAGCAGGTCCTTTGCTGAAAGAGGGTCTTTCAGGACTTGTGTAAGAGCCGCCGATGCAGCGGATGTAAGAGTCGTGATCAGGAAGACCTGAACTACTTGGAACGCAAAATAGGCGTGTTGTACGAAGAGTTCGATCAGGGAGAGCGAGGGAACGCCGGCAACCCTGGCGCAACCTGTGCAAAAGTCAGCAGGGTGATTAAAGGGGTCGAAATGTGCTACTCACCTCGCAGCATCCAAGGCACGATGGCCATGAGGAACGACAAGGCCAACGCGGGCAGCAAACCACTGATGATACCGGTGACCGGGTCAGGCAGCTTCGTGATCCATGCCAGGAAGGGGAATGTTTCTGACAGGAACTTGATGTTGGAGATGGTTCCGACGATGGCGGACGGGATAGACCAGAATACAATAGCGGCCGTGATGAACGCACGCGTCAAGAAGTCCCTAGCGATGCGCTCGAACCACCGCATCCGAAGGGAGCTCCAGACCACTTCGTCTGGGCGAATACCGATATACCGCGGCGACATGTGCAGCGGGCGGTTGTGCGCCAGGGTCTGGTACGCCCGCTCGGCATCAGCCTGGGAGGAGAACTCGACAAAGGCTGTAGGTAGTCGACGACCCTCGCCCTTGAGGAAGCCTCGTCGCAGCTTGTTGATCTGGTGCGTGAGAGCCTTAATCCTCAGGCGCGTCCATTTAATCGTATCGACTCGGCGGAAGAAGTTGGCCAGGGGTCGGTGGTACGGACGTTCGCTGGCCCCGATCCACTGTGCGGCGACGGAGCCGTTGACGTCGGGCAGGGCGGTGTTCTCTTGGTGCGGGTATCCTTTCTCGGGGTCGTCGGACCGTTCCGAGCTTCCGCTCGATGGCGGGCTGGAGACGGTTTCAGGGAGAACCGGTAGAGCGGCGGCAATCGCCTTGAGTTGCTTGTTCCTCCGTTTGTTGGCCATCTTGATCAGGCGAATCTCGGCCTTTTCCAACCGCATCGCCGTCTCGTCTCGCTCCTTGACGAGCCTTTCCAAGTCGCTCGTGTCTCGTGGGATCCAGACGTTCTTGACGGTGTCGCCAAACAACTTTCGCATACGGGCGGCATCTTGGTATTTGGGCGGGACACAGCCGAACATGACCGTCCGGGAAGACAGCCGCTTGGAGTAGTAGGGTGATAGTAGGTAGGCATGGCGAAGATTGATGTAGTATATGCATTCACGGTAGATTGTGAAGAGGATAAAGCCTGAAGGGAGGGTTAGCATACCGCAACCATCGTATGGAATAGGGGGCGCCTACCGAAGA